GAGTGTATTTCGCAAGTGAAAACGACCATCGTCAATTTTTCACTTAGAGGCGCGCGCAAACACCCACACACACGCAGGCAACCAAGCAAGAAAGCAGGCACAGCCAGACCAGAACTGATTTTGGCATTTACGCCAGCACGTCGACTGAACTGACAATAGGCAAGGAAGCAGGTGACTAAGCGAGTGCGGCCACGAACACAAATGGGGCGACGGTGGAAGTCGAGACCACCGGTGTGCCCAGCGTGTTCTGTCGACGTGTGGACTCGTGTTGGCTCCTCGCGGTTCCGACCTCCACCACGTGCTGCTCGCCAGACGTCGACGCGGACGGCATCCCATGAGCCCTTCGCAACCCACTGCAACATCTGCCGACGTGTCGATGACTTGAACGAGCAAACTGCACTCGGCAGCCTTCGACAGATCTCATTCGATGAAGTCAAGGCTTGGAAAGTGGTCGCATGTTATGGTTCTACACGATAGCTTCAAATGACGCCGTCTCAGTTCGAGTGGAACAATCGCTGTTGCATAGGAACGACAACTAGATCATCGACAAGGCTTCCGTTTACAAATCCGAACACGCAACTATGGTAGCAGGAACATACCGACTAGCAAAAGCGTTCACGCTTATAAACTGACCAATAACAGGTGAGGAGAATGACGAGAGTGAACTAAGCCAACTTTTAACGAAGACAAATTGAACTTTGTCGAAGTTAACACGCATTGCCGCGTACGCCCACACGCAATACCGACGATTTGAGATAGCGCGGCATCATTAATGCATTATTAGAGGCGTCACCCCCAGGAATATGCCTCCTGGACCTGCGGCGTTCGCTCACAGCAGGTAACATTTCGTAAAATTTGAGACGAAAATGTTAAAATGTCCAGTTATGCGCCTTTGCAGCGCACAAACGAGCTTGTGGAAATCGAAATAGAAAGCGTAATTCGTGAATACTCCGAGTTAAACAATAGTTGTTAGATTGGAGAACATTAAAAGCGTCAGTTAGTACAAGACAGGGAGGTAGAGGCTGAACAGACACACAGAGTACTGAAAAAAGGGCAAATTCATTCTGGATTTCGCGACCTATTATCAGCGACATCTCTCGTTGCGAATTTGACCACATCAGCAATCTGAATGGCTGTTTTAGCGGAGTGGGTGGTTCGATTGACACGACACTTCACTGTGTCGAGGTTGCAGCGATTTGCGCACCAACTTCACCAAGGGTACTTTATTCATTCGACCAAAAGCACGGCAAAATTTAAAAATGCACCCCGTTACCACGGTGCTAAGGACAAGCACATTGTAATTCCAGGATCAGCACTAATTAAAATAGGGAAATTTAGAATTCGTCCAGGAATACCTTGAGGAGAGGGATTCACTACTAGACAGAATCGCACGCGTAGACACTGCGCAATCCGGTTGTTCATATCCCTCCACACTACCACAGGGAGTTTGTCGAAATCCGAAGTCAATCGAAGGGAGGTCATTGTACATACACACGCAGGTTATTGAACTAATGGCATTTAATCAGTAATTTTCAGCGATTTGAAACCAATTCTCACAATGCAAGTTGGCGTCACTTCGTACTTAGAAGTTTAATACATACCAAATACACAATGGAATAGATACACCGACCGATTGACCGCCTGCACGTAATAAAAGCAGCCTTATCTTAAGCTGGCTTATGTTACCCATCTTCGCCTTTAATTGGTCGCCGTCCTCATGTCATTCACAAACAGCGACACATCATAAAGGACGAACAATCAGCTTTTCCACCAAATCACGTCGCCTATTCGCGCCAGTGAGGCCTACTAGTTCCTGCAATTGTCCCCTTACACGGTGTACTTAAGCGTTCCTTCGTGGAAATCAGCAAGGTCGGTGCGTTAAATTACCAAATGTTACGGAGAACGACATGAACTAGGGAACAGAATGAGCCCGCAAACAGTAACACAAGTGACTGACAGTGAAGCACAGAGAAGCAAAGGCAGAGCAGGAGGCCACCCGGAGGCGTCAATCAACCAAACGGCTTTTGGGTGTCGATTGAGTTTGACGACGTCTGTATTTCAGAGGTGAGGCGCAGCGGTCGATTAAACACAAAAGATGCATTTTATTGGTCGGTGGAGAGGCACTAACGCGGCGGGTTTGCAGTCGCTTGCGAGGACAAATCGCACACACAAACACACGAACGATCAGTCGATGGCTTCGGTTGTTTATGGCACCAATTGTGGACTACTGTATGTTCAGCAGTTGTCAAAATACTAGGCTAGGGCTCCAGACAGCTTGTCTTGTTTTCAAATATTCTTTTGCCGGCATTGTGTGGAAAGCGAGTTCTTCATCCTCAGATGTTTACTTTTGCATATTTTGGTACCTATAAGTTCAAGAAAATAAGCGACTTGATATTGAGCGTTCAACCGTGATGCCAAAGCCACAGACGCAACGGCTAGGGAAGTTCGTGCGATCAACAAAGAAGAGGAAACCACACAGGAATGGTTCGGCGAGTGGAGAAGCGGCAATTTTGACATCAATGACGCAGACTAACTTCTATGAAGGCCGATTGAGGGCGTTTTCCAAAGGCAACAAACGCCAAACCACGCAGCGAGGTTCAAGAGATGGGAGCTTGCGTGGATCCACGGACAACCGACGATTTCGGCGCTTCACAGCAACGGCCGATTAACCCCGGCACAGTCAGGGATGTGTGTCACGTGTAAATGTCTGCGCAGGAGACGAATAAGCAGCGCTGCGTTAACATGTTGATATTAGTAAATGATTGAAAGCAAGAGAAACGAACGAACCACTGTCTCACACCAATCCTGCTTCGGCGGGATTCGATGAAGCATCCAACATCACCCAAGCGCATCCACATTAAGTGCCTTGCGCGAGATTCTTTTGAGTTGGGTACTTTTTTGTTGCGCCTTTGACATATGCAAACAGGTGAACGGCAAGCACGTACAGAGCTCGTTTTCCCACGTGACCCAGATGACGATTCGGTGTGTTAGCGCTCGACGGCTAGGCTTGGAATGACACGCAGCATTTCAAACTACCACTTCGCTGTAAACACTGAAAGAAGCCGATATTGTGTAGCGAAAAAAGAGAGCAGATCGTTAATAGACCGAGCGAAGGCGAAACCGCGGTAAATGACACACTGACCCGGGCTAGAACTCGTGACAAAGATAGGTGGGGGAGGAAGAAGAGTTACCGGAAGTTAACCTTTTTGCCTAGCTTAAATTCTAATTTGAAAGGAAGCCAGTGAATCGCGTAGCACGCAAAAGTATGCATTGCAACCTGCATCGTTTCCTCTCTATCAAGTATCCGGGCTTTCTGCTAGACTGGACGTTCATTTAGACGTGGAAGAGGATAAGAATGGCACATTTCCACATGACAACCATAAAGTAAAAAAGCACATAAGGTTGTGAGGATGAATTGACTGTTCACAAGTGAAAATGTGACCGACTAGAAGAGAGTCCTATGATGTTTAATTGGATAAAAACACGGACAAGGTTAAGCAGTTTGATCCAGACTGGATGGAATAACGACGGCAGCACAAATACTAGACAATGGATTTGCAGGATAATTTGGACTTTGCATTATGAAATGAATAGTGTTCTAACTCAATTATTCGTTTATAATACGTCCGATAATTACCCCCTACTCCTCCGGGAAACCTCGTGATTCCACGCTCACAGAGCCAGTCCAGGTCGTATCAGCAAGAAGTACGATTTCGAGTCATTGTCACAAGTGAGAGTTGTGTAAACTCGAAAATAAGTGGTAATCTGAGGGTGCAAGGTTAGGGACATGAGGGGGATGCATGACACCACTTTCAAGCCGAGCTTAGACAGGTTACCAAGTTAGTTAGGCTTCACATGGTCAATGCAGAACACCCTATTGGCCTCCTGATCCAATCTCATTAGCTGCTGATCGTAGATAGCAGTCAATATACACCAGATCAACGTTAATCGAACCGAAGCTATGCAATTCAGCCGTCGATGCGGTTCGTGCAGATTCATCACGATAGCCCCATGATGGGTGATATTTCTACCAACGATGGTGATTCGCCTCACTGCATTTTCAAATGATTTTCAATTGTCGTGGATCCAATACTCTTACTCTCTCTGCAATCTCTCGTAAGGTCAAACGACCACGATGCGATTGGACCATGGCATTGATATGGCCGTCGACAACTCCTATGGGTCGACCACAATGCTGATCAGGGTAACGTTAATAATCGCCAGTGCAAAAACCATTAAAACCAATTCTGACGCATGCATTCAATCACGGAATCGACAACACTTCGTGAGCCTCAACACACCTGGCTTTTCATAAATCGGCGCATTGGTACTTTATGTTAAAGTACACCCAAAACTGACAACACCAAACCAACTAGGTGCCAAAAGTGACATCGATCCCATCAAAATGACTGGTTTGTAAACGTATCGGGACGGCTGAGATATATCCATAGGATGCTTCTTTTTTGAACTGAATGCAACGCGATTCTTGCTTTACGATATTTGAGAGAGGGACAAGCATTACTTACGTATAAAGAGCAATGACTGAATACGAAATGTGCAACAGGTAAAAGCCCAAAAGATCCACTGAAGTCAACGAACAATCCAGTGCAGGCTAACAACGAAGCTAATTCCGACCAAACTATTCGAGAAAGAGCGAAAAAGCCAGAAACACCACGATCTGCAGCAAAACGGTGCCTGAAACAACTGAACGGGGCGCAGATTGGCAGATACACGGATTCCCGATTGACAAAAACCAGCAGATTAAGTGTCTCTACTGTGAGATTTCGCCCGGATTACAAAGAGATCCACTTCTTCAACAGAGGCGAGAAGCGGATGGTCTTTAACATCAAGATCACCACCGCTACACTCATACAGAGTTGTAAATGTGCTGGGATTTCACAGGAATAAGCCATCAACGTGGTTTTGAATTAGAAATGAGCATTAGCTTGGGACAGACCAAACACCACTTTGCTTCAACCTAACCAACACCAGAACGGGCTAATGATGCTATTTTGTTGATCAAAAATGTTGACAACAAGGTTCAGAGAATGAAGGTGCACCAATTAGCCTCTTGTTTGGCATACACAGAACACCCAATTAAAGTTTTCAAGGTCAAGGGTACCCGCAAACCGCGATAGGTGAATCAAGTTGACCTTGAGAGAGATATTAACATGGACACACACACACACACACACATATACGTACTGGATGTACGTTATGCACTGCGCTAACTAAAATAAAATCCAGAATCCACGAAAACTCACAGGAGAGAACGGTTGTGAGTGCGTAGCGCTTTGCGTCGACGAGCTTGCCGGTTCACTTGTTGAGGCGCCAGCAGTGGAGGTTTGCTCTGTGCTAGCGGATGGAGCTGGAAGCAAGGTAGGGAGCGAGCGATTGGTCAAAATAATGAGGCCAGCCGCCGCATTAGCGCCGATGTGAGCCACCTTTTTGGCGGGACTTTGAGTAGTCCGATTGAGGGCCTCCTCGTTTTCTTTTAGAGCCTCCTCCTCGGTTTCGGGATCTGGAGATCGATACCTTTAGATAGAGAGAGCAGAAAAATAGGAAATGCCAAGTGAAGCGAAAACAACACACTGCTTATCAGCAATTCCGAGCGGACTTACCACTTTTGCACTTGATACTTAAGACGCAAGTAATCATCAAAATTGCTATTTCGTTCATCCGGTTCCTTGCCTCCACACAGAGCCAAGTAAATTTTTCGGCAGGCCTAAGTTTGATTGGAGAGTCAAAGGAAGAACACCTACTTTATTACCCCTTCGTTTCATAAAAGTAATTTCCTGTGGACTAAAGTTCGACATGGAAATTGACTTCACACGCTGGTTGTATTTGCGTCTAGAAGGCATTAGAGCGAAAATGTGACTTACAAGGCGCCGCCACATCCGGTGCAGACAAAGGATCCGATGGACATGTTTACGTAGGTCGGACCGCGCTGGTTACAATCGAAGCAGAACCGGTTTTCGTGGATAGAAGCGAGGTCGCGGAGAGTCTTTGAGGAGGACTCTTGGATTTTCCTATTAGACGCCATTACGACTTGGTTCGTGCCTGTGAAAGAGCAGAGCTTTGGGATTTGGGTTCATAAATACACAAAGAGGGAAATAAAGAAACGTAGGAGCGCGTGCACTAGGATAAGTCAAAAAGATATAGACTAACGAGATACACCGCCTCGACGGCAGTGATAGTCATCAAAGAATTCAGAGACTATTCGTGTGCAGTTGAAATACTGCAGTTAAAATTTTACGAATATTCTTTATGTGATTCGAGAGCAAACCAGTGGCGAGCGTTGTAGGAGGCTTGTTGGGAATTACGCGTCTCATCACTTCGAGCGGACAAAGTGACCTCAAAATGAACAATGTAGAAACATCAGACCCCCATTAGTATGATCGTCTTTAAATGATGAGAAATTAGACAACGTATGATGAGGTTTAACGATATTACTAAACTCAATTTTGCTGGTAGATAGACTTCTTAAGAGAAGTATTTAAAGAAATGCGAATAAGTAATTTCTACAATAGGCTAGAATTATTCATTATGGTTTTCTAACAACTGAAACACTGGGAATGGCGATTGGGCATTTATTGTGGATAATATGCGGCTTGACAAAACATTTAAGAAAGGTGTAACTCTTTGTGTGTTCAATACGAGGAAATGCAGAGAATAAGCATCGGAAAATTGTGATTAAACCAACAGGTTACAGCTCACAGTTCGGCAGTTATATGAAACAGATTAAGTTCTGGCGAAGGCCGGAAAATCACGGCGTGCATAGAGGCACCTAATAGATTTAGGGACACGAACACCTGCAGCAATACAGGAAAGTGCAAGCTGCGGATTAGCAATGAATAATAGAATTAGAAAACAGCACAGATTTTAGCATAAATTGTTTAAACCGGCAGCTTCGTGAAAAAAGTGCAAATAAAGACTCCTGTAAAAAAAAATACTGCGGAGGATATTGGTAGCGGAAGCAGACATAACATACGTAAAATATTTTCCCCCGGTTACTCCACATAGTCTAGTAAACCAGCACTGGCATTGCAATCAAACCAAATACAAGTGTAGAATAATTACTCAAATTTACCCAAGTTTGGCAATCGAATGGGAATGCGGTTCAGTATGGCTAAGGCGAAATAGAGCAAATTGAAAAAAAAATAAAATATACGAGCTTTAAGCATAAAGCATTGCTCGAACAAAATTGGTGCTCAGAAAGGGTTAGGAAAACAATTTCAGAAAACGACCAATGTATGTGCATGAAAATCCATTGAATTTGCGAATTAAGAAGGAAAAATCTGTATGTAACTAAAGGACATAAAGATGAATAGAACCAGAGCAAAAAAGAACAGATACTCCCGGATGGCCTCGACTAAAAATTATCCTCTACCACCAGGTGAACAAAGATATATGTGCAAAAGTCTTGAGACAACATACGGAGGACGCCAGGGAACAGAATATGTGAGCACTTAAATGGCAACCAGAAAAGACCTTCCTTCTGATTGGTTCGTACAATACATGTTAAAGTAAGCGAGTTGTTAAATTATCGACTTGGAAATTTCAAACGAGACTCAAGGAAAGCAAAAAAACTTTCTTAATGTTATAAAAATATGTTATTTAAACAAAAAAATAATAGAAGGATTTTTGCTTTACGATTCCAGATAAAAAGCTCTTATTATATTAATCTAGAGTTTTGTAGTGGTAAATTTTGGCAATGAGATTGGAAACAAATGCATAATCGACATAAAAAGTGAAAACGAGATGACTTTTTAGTATAAAAATTTATATATAGCAAGTAATACTTGATGTGAGTTGTTAATTGTTGATTTTAGTCCCGCTACAAGTCTACCATGGCGTCACAGAATAAAATTATATTTGCGACTAATTTAGGCAAATCTTACCTTACGAGTTTAACACCAATGATCAAGATGCATGCAAAAAACGTAGATGGCTGCATAGTTAAGGGTCCTTTCAAATGGACTTTCGCAAAATGATTTCCACTACTAGAGACAGACAGTAATACGAGCCTGCAAATAATGGTGGTTATTTTAGGTCTTTTGCAACTAAATTTGAGCACTCTTTGTGCTTTAAAGTTATTGCTGGTCACTTTATTTTTAGAAATAGCATATACTTTTGAGTATTTTTTTCTGCTTGCACCTAAATTGATAAGCATTTTTACAAACTGGCATACACTTACCTTCATCCGATAAGTAAAATTTTTACTATCAATGTGGCTTGTTGAAACAAGGTCATGCGTGACTGCTACAACTGTAAATTTTAAGCTATTAAAGCAATGAAAGTTTCTGTTTAAAACACATGACATGACATTATTGCATCAAAGTAATGCAAGCTGTGCAGGAAGTTTAGTCTTTCGCGATAGTAATTGGCTTTGATGCATAAACGCCTCGAACTTTTCCCAAGTGTATATTAATTAAATAGAGTATAATCAATCGTGATGAATTATTATGGAAAACGGTCTTCAATTGTCACTTCATAAAAACTTCTAAAAATAAATCAAGTTGAGTTTTTATGGGAGAGCCAAAAAACGTTGACGAATGAGCAAAGAAAAATCAGCCGAGGGTTCACTGTGAATTGGCCCTAATAGTCTTCCCGTAAGCTCGTTCGTGCCTGTCAATTAACCACATTATTTATCTATCTCTGTTCTGTACAATGCTCGAGTCCTAGTTTGAAAACATCAGGTGCAAAGGACGGGCCAGAACCCCACATACATATGCGATCGCCCTACCGATAGTGACGTTCAAGGGCACAGACATCTTGGATCATCCCGAGCTCAGCCCATTTTCTATTCTCTTGTGGTTGAATGGCCTGTGGTGAAGATATGCAACCACCCAGTAACAAGTGTAGCGTGTGAGCAGAGGAACGCCATTTTGCCGTCCAGCCATTGGTCGAGAACCAGTGGCACGCAGTGGGGACGGCATCACGTGATTTTCGGTTGCGAGGAGCATTTAAGTTTCAAATGGAGCGCCAAAGCCTGAATAGCCAATCACCTCACGAGATTGTCTTTCTATTTCTAGAACCCAAGCCGGAGCCAATCAGCGGACATGAGCAGCCCGGACCAAGTATATAAGCAAACCCCTTGTCAACAATGAACCTTTAACGCTGACATTGGAGACTCCCGTTGTACCTTGTACCAATATACCCGTATAACTGTCCATTCGCTATCTTATCATGTCCGGCGCATAACACAAGGACGACTGAGAAGAAACATACAACGAACAGCGCAGCCATCATGGTGAGCTCGGATGGACGGCACCTGATATACGGTTCTGACTTGCGATTGGTCAACAACGCTTGTCTCAGATATTTCACACTATCCGTGCCTTCCATGTGATCTGTGCTTCTCATACATTCCATGCTGTGCTTGGCTGTTGGTCATCCTCACGCGAATTAAAAAACATATGCTGGCAGAGGACTGGAAATAAACACCAAAAACTATCAAAAGGCTTTATTTTAGAAAAGTGTGAAGCATGAAAGTAGTCAGAACGGCTAACTGAGCACTCATAATTAAGATTTATATCTTTCTCCACTGTGGGCAAACCATTCACCTTATGGTTAGTTGTTTTGGGATAAGTAAATCTGGTTTTACTGCTGGCATTAGTACGATTCACAACGCGGTTGTCTGGCTTTCCCGGCCACTCTCAATATGGATCCTCAAGATTAGTGTGTGTATTGTTTGTGTAATTCAAATCAGTACCGCATTTCGCCCACTTTCAGCATCCAAGTACGCGAAAACGTTTTTTTCACACAAGCTCTTTTGACGCATCTAACAGACGTCCGTTGCTGGATTTGGGCACTTGTCACAGCGCCCTATTTTCTGAGTCATACGGAAGAGTGGTTCAGGATACTAGGGCAGATAATTAGTTATGAGAATAGCCCCACCTTTAAAACTGGTCTAAACAGCTTTACCCGAAAATGATGAGTCTCTGTTACTCCTCTAGACTGCAATTGGTTCCCGCTCGGAGTTAATCCCCTCTTGCATATCCAATTATACATCATCCCTAACAAATGAATTGCAAGGTCACATTGGGTCTTGATAATACATTCTTTGTCAGTGTTCTCGACGGGTGGTTACGTGCAGCAGGACTACAATGTAAATGGTCACTTGCACTATTTAGTTGCTGATTGCGGTCTTATTCGACCCACTTCACTATACGTGTAGTCAGCTGTTCACAAACCTGCAAACTCTTCTACCAATTTCACGGGACGCATCCAGATTTGGAAATCACCCGCTCATTCAGACTAGTTATTGATCACCCCACAGTATCTACTACCGGGGGGTATCAGTCTGGGCGACCACAACGTCGTGTTGTGATGACTCTCAGACTGCACGATCCACTCATAAAGAAAGACCTTTCTGGAAACGGACCACGTAGTGCTCGGTTGGACGTGGTTTAAAGATATTCAGAAGCGCGGTTATCAAGTTAGTATGTGGTTTACACCCTAGTCGTCAATTTAAACGGCACTTTGACACAAGTGCGTCGACTAACGAGAGTGTTATCCATAATCGAACTGGCGAATCTCTGGGACGCCGATGGACCAAATAATCACACAGACATAGTGTGGGGTCGAAGAAATTTCGTCACAAAATTCAGTATAAAACACGCATGCGCGACCTTTTCATCGATTCTGCGCAGTTCTTGCCTCACTGTGGACAATTATTCAATGAAATTTGAAGAGAACTGGCATCAAAATCTCTGAGGCGATACTCTCGTGTGAAGGAGGTTTCTTTCCGAAATCTGACCAATTCTCAGACTCACAATTAATACTATGGTGTCAGAATAACCGAGCATGAACACAACTTTTAACAGAGTGAAAGCGATGGGATATGTCTGAGAATAAACGGATTTGAAAAATTCAAACGTAAAAACTCGATTTGAAATCGTTGACAGCGTCGATGAACAGAAACGATGCCGCAAAAGCTATTCGAATGCATAAACCTCTCCAATCCAAAATAAAAATTTAAAATGTAAATCACACAAATACTTAAGTGCAAAATAAGTTACGACCGGAGTTAAAAAGTGCTTCGTTCGTACAAGAATCTACGAGCACAACCGTTCCCAAGGGCTTTCCTAACGATTTTTAAGTTAGTGATTGACAATTGTGGTAACTGGTAATATAAAACCACCTTTGTTTGCAATTAAACGGAGAGTTCTTGATAAGCTAGCATAATGTCTCTTTATAGGACTAAAAGGGTTTGGCAATTACAGCAAAATAGTACCTAAGCCTACAAGTACTGCAGCCAAAAAAAATAAAAGAAATCTAAAACAACGCCAACCTAATTTGTTCAGCCACTACCAAATCAGTATATCAACAACTGGAAGCGCGACGATAAAGTAATACCTAGGATTTTGAGCCAACTTTACTATCACTGCATCCCGCATACAGGTAATCCAGTCATTTAACAAGTCAATGGATTAGCTGGATTTCTAATATTTTGGAAATAAACGGGAAATACAATAGCTTCTAAGTACAACAGTAAATGTAAATAAGAGTACAGAAACTGCAAACACGGGGCCTTCATTATTAAAAATATTTTGATTTTTTGAAGAAGGCAAGGGTTGCAAAACAGCATAAAAAATAACGGAATGTGAATCACATCAAATATCACAGATTAATAAAATTTTCTATACAAATTGTCATCTGAATCAAAATCACGCCGTCTTACAAGCTGCCAGTCTGTTTAGAATTGGGCAAAATGAATGCTTGTCTTCACATATGCGTACTCACCACAGGTGAATCCTTCAAATGTTCAATTTCGCGATAACGAAGATGATTAAAAACAACTGATATGGTAAAGAGGATCAAAAGAACAAGGTTGATACCCAGAAGAAGCGAAATATCCAGCGTATAGGATGGCATAACATACGCATTAAGAACGCCAGTACCTCTGAGGTCCTCACCAACCGAACAAACGTACTCACCACTATCAGATGGACTCACACGAGACATAAAGAGAGATCCACCCATGTTCCTAAATCGTCCATCTTTAGAAGTAGCATCTGGTAAAACAACTTCAGTAGAAGGTAATGTCCAGTTAAATGATGGGGAAGGCGGATCGGAGGTGCAAGAGAATGAAGAATCATGGCCTATTTCGACCGCTAAAAAGGATGGCTCGACATTTAACTCAGAGAAAGCGAAACTAAAAAGCGAAAAGAAAAATAAAATTCGGAGAAAGGAAGACACTGCACGAAGGAACAGACGGAAGGCACTCATAGCAAAGCTGCGCCTCTTTGAATGGTCCGCTGAAGGCAAAGGGAATTGAAAAGTTTGGGCAGCAACTTTTGCAATTAAATCGTCAAAATTGATTTCAAAGTGTTCTGACAGGACTATTACCACGCCTCATTTAAGAAAAGCTAGTTTTTATATTGTAATTAAACGCAAATCCATGCATGATATTTTGAACAATCCAAGATGAAATTAAATTCAAACGCTTAACAGTGCTACATTGTCTCTAGTGTTAATGAAAATTTAGCAGCACACGGTGATTAAGGGTTGCAGTTAATAATTAAAAATAAATTTGTTACTCTTCCATTTACAGTGCAACAATTATCATAATGCTGCTTTAACAAAATAAATATTAACTGGCCCAATTTGTGCGATTGAAAGAGCAGAATTTTTACCTATATATTCGAAATTTGTGAATTTTTACCTCTTTGATAATTGATTACCTGTCACATAGGTAAAAATATGATCGGCAGAAAATTGAATTTTATTCAAAGGATATTAGATAAAGCAGTTTTCGAAAGTAATGGCAAGGGTAAATGAAATACATGGGCAGAAAAATAACGTTAATTTTGGATCACCGCTGGAAGTAAAGTCTAATCTCATTTAAGGTGAAGACTTATTCCGCTAAGAAGAAACAGGTTTGCAAATGCCCTAAATACACTGACTCCTATTTAGTTCAGGTAAAATTAACAACTTAATTTTCAAGAAAAGTGTTATGCTTTGTGAATCTGTGTAATTTTATGCGAAATATTCTTGTTTGATTTCCATAGCGTGTTTAAAATTGAATTCCAATTTAATAATTATTTTGGTTTATTTTGTTCAAAATTGTTCAGTAAATAAAATTATCTGATTTAAGTGATCAGGCACAGCATAGCCGTGCAAAATTCACAAACTATTTAACAGGCCTTGACTGAAGTTTTCCGAAAATTAGTATGGTAACTTATGATCTTGATTCTCTTGTACAACTAAAGTACCAAATACTATTATATTGAAAGATTTTTCACGGAAATAAGGATCAAGAATGTTTCTAATGGGAATAGTTTTGCTCATAAAATGACCCAAGGCATTTTGTATTATCCCAAAAATTAACAATCTAAAACAGCAAAATAAAATTAACTATGCCGATAAAAACAACTGCTGAAATAAGCTTTTTAGACCAAAGCAAAATATGACTGATAATAAGTTATAAGAAAATTAAGGACTTAAATTTAAACAAAATTTTGTCGCTTGTATGCTTTTTGAAGACAAGACAGATCGGGATTTATCATTAATACATCTCCTAGGCTTTTGTTTTCACATTTAAATAAAATTCGTGACAAAATGAACAGATTAATTCCTCAGATTAATTGGCAATAACTCTGAGTAAAAATTATTGTTTAACAAACATTGGTCCCCTTAAAATTACTAACATTAAAAATCATATTTGCAGTATGCTCCACATTAGTCATTAAGTTTAGGAAAATCAATGCTTAATTAAATTAATAACCCATTCAAGTTTGAGGATTGTTGTGATAAAGAGAAGGGATCTCAATATTGGTTGCTGTTTTTTGATATAGAGTAAAAATTCATCGCTATTAAAAGGCATAATTTTGTGATCAGGGTTGATTGTATCATATCGGTTCATTTGGCATAAATAAACGACTGAAATATTGACCAAGATCTCTGGAAATTTGCAACGCAAACGTGCAAATTGCATGCTTTACTACATGCGAGCATTTTGGGTGCTGCCTGATATGAATCTGAAGCACTAATGTCGGAATGTTTTAAATCACCTTGTTTGTGTGACTAATTTAACGCCCTAAGTGCGCGCTTTCTGAGTTTGTTTATTATTGTGACGCTAACACATTCATCGAATTAGCAATGTTTCCTCATTTCCAGTTTATATGAAAAATTGATTAAAAATGGAGAATTTTGTGCTCTATGAAGAAATATGCACTTGGGACGATCAGACAATTTACAAGGCCCGACGAAAAGGGACCATCACATTTCTCGCTATTTCTTGTATCGATAAGAAACGGAGAACTCTTGTTACAAATCATGTTCGATTTGCCCATGGATTTGATCACAAAAACATACTTAAGTTTCATGAGTGGTACGAAACCAGCAATCATCTGTGGCTTGTGATGGATCTTTGTACCGGTGGAACACTTGACAGAATGCTACGAGAGGACAAAATGTTCCCTGAACCCGCGTTGGCAGATCTTGGGCGGCAGTTAGTAGGTGGACTTCAGTTTATTCATTCAACCGGTGTTGTTTTTGCTGACTGGTTTCCTAGTAGAGTACGTTAGCGTATTTAAAAATAAACTTTTAGATATTTTTGGATGGCTACGGAAATGTGAAATTTTTTGACTTTTCTTATGCTCGACTGGAGCATGAGAGGTCGATTGACATATTTTTATCTGAGGATGATGAAAATCTCAAATTTGATGGATTATCTGTTTTATCGCTTCCGTACACAGCCCCAGAAATACTTGCCGGCTCAACCGCTTCAAAAGCTTCTGATGTTTGGGGTCTAGGCTGCATCTTATTTAGGATGTTTTTTGGCGTGACGCCATTCGCAACTCAAGTGCAATCGCATGTAAGACTTTTGTCATGGCAATTTTGCTTTTCTAAAATGAAAAATGTATTAGTGAATGAATTGAACTGAAGCAAGTCATATCTGCACTAGTTTCGCGCATTTTATTTCTTTTTAGCTTATTCAAATGATTCGCACAGGTGAAATTGAGATTCCGCTACGTTCTAATCGCAAGCCCAGTAAAGAACTGTGGGACTTGCTTTGTGCAATGCTAACCAAAAATCCACTTCGAAGAATAACGCTTGAAGACGTTGCTAGGCACCCGTTCTGGCAGATAAGCCCACCAAGTGAAAATGCTCTCGCCAAAAGCCCCCTGGGTAGTGATTCTGCTCAGCGCACAAATTCAATTACGGTAAACTAACAGAATACATCCTACTGTCTTCTCTATTTGATTTCAATCGTGGTTTAGTTTTTCTTGATATTTCGAGGATTTTTGGCGTTGAGTTTGTAATGAAATCTAGGTTATATTATATTGTTAAAGTCTATGTTGCACTCATTTTTACTAGAGCATTGCAACTGCCTTGGAGGTTGACTACAAGCAAAACGGATTGGCTGATTTGGGTGACGGAGATCGATCGATTGTTGAAACTTCATTTAAGGCAAGTTGGAACCATTTGTAGTAAATTTGTCTGATTGGTGATAATAGATAATGTGATTTTTTGGTGTGCACTTCTAGGTTCTAAAGAGGTCCGTTTCCATGGGCGATAGTGCGTTAGCTAGCGCAGCGCTGCTCCAGGACAAAAAGGCTGTTGGGAAAGCTTCGGTGTTGCAGAAGGAGGCCGTGGTGAAGAAAGTCAGCACTACTCAAACAACCTGTCCCACAGAGGCATCGGGTACAAAAACTTACAACCTGCCAATGGGTGAAGCCAACTTTACTCTTCATGCCCAAGCATGCCCTGTTACCATAAATCGTGAAGTTAATGACACAAGCAGAGCCTCCAAAACTGGAACTGGTACCAATAACGACGATCTCCTGGGGGCGAGTTCTCGAAGGGACTCCAAGCTCAGTACTACGGGCGATTCTGCGCAGACCACACCTTATGAGTCGCATGAAAGTCTTCACCCCCCTCTCTCTCCAGTGACTACGGATGACAGAATGACAAAAAGTGAATACGTTTTTCGTGAATCAGGTAGGCATTTTGTTCAGTTCGTTTCTGCATCATTCCGTAGAGGGTCTGCTGGTATGCTTAATGAGATGTTATTTTACAGCTCACTGCACAAACTATGCAAATAGTTCGAGTCATACGAAGAAACACATTGGTTATGTACTTGTGGTATGATTGCAAGGTAGAGCTATTGTGCCTTGATATACTTCGTTACATCTGAATGTGGATGTTCACTTGATAACTGTATATGTTATCCTGGAAAGTACTTTTATAAAATCAGAAAATTACACTTTTTAGCTTTTACTTTAGTATGTATCTTTGTTATGTGTACCACTATTTTTCCTTCGCGCTATGACACCTGTGGCATCGTCTGAACCATTTTTTAAATTATAGATGGATCTAATCGACCTGAAAGTTCACGACTTCGCCACTCACATCTTAGCTCCAAGTGTTTGGCGCTTGTATCTGCACAGACGCGTGCTCGAATTGCACTAATTTATCCCTGGGGGGACGAATCTGCAACTCTGCCACTGGAGACGCGGTTAGCCAAGGCGCAAAACGTTTATGAGTGGAAGGACATTTTGGCGTCAGATGAACTTGAGGAATTCGGGAGTCCTCATGAGAACGAAAAAGAGGGTGACGTGAAGCGTCGACGCAGCCCATCCTGCATTCCGCAGCCCTTGGGTGACTACGACAAGTGGATGCGCAACCCACCCACGACCAGCATTCGTCTCCCGGGCGATATCACTCAACTGTCACCGGAGGATCTTGAGTTGTCCTCTCTTGACGAAGTCAACATTCATGCTGATGCTGTGAGTTAGAACATCATTATTCTGTGTTAGCAGTGTCCGTTAGGAATCTGTTTTTTTTAAATTATAATTTCTTTCTCGTTTTTCCCCTAGTTGCTTGAAGTGATGTCGGACTTAGCCACGTCTCATTCTCCCAAAGCGCGTCCCTCCGACTACCTAAGCTATATTGCATGGTTCCTTGCCGTAACCACCCTAAAGCACACTAAAGGTGACTCCAAGAAACCCAATTTTGAAGCCAATTTCAACAACTCTATTTTGCGAACCAAGCATTACATGAATAAGGCCGTAGCTCTACTAAAGCCCAACACGACCACAGGGAACGTGCGGATGTGGATTTGCCGAATTATTGGCCTCTTGGCCTACCGTGCCGCCTTTATGATCAAGTACTACGGTGACGACCCGAATCGACAGTCGCTTATTCACACGCTGGTTTACGAAGTCGCGCCAGAGTTGCCTGTCCTAGTAACAGCTGTTGTGGATCTTCTACGCGAGCCAGCCTCCAAGGGTGTCTTTCCACTGAAACAGGCGGGCATAACAGCATTGGGAGAGCTTCTTGTCTGTGAGATGTGCATATACGGTCAAGTGTTCTCGGATCCGGCGCATTGTGGGAGTTTGCCTCTCGAGGGTTATGACGTTCCACGAGCCCAGTGGCAGTCTGCCCTGCTTCAGGTTATTCGTTCACTTGCTCCAGCGAATTCGCGCTCTGGAAGCGCTTCTCAGACTCGGACAGCCTTCGGTGCTACCCAGGTGAGGCCTCTTGAACGTGGAACTTCCTCGGCGTCGGCGTCGGCCTCGGGTAGTTCGTTTACTGTTAAAATGACCGAGGAGAGCGTTCGTCTCGCTGCAGCGCGAGCTCTTAATGAAACTGTGATTGTTGTGATCGGGTGTAAACTGGCGCGGTTAACTCAACGCCTGGACATGCGGGAGCTCGATAGGAGCCATCCAGGCGTTCAACTGGCTGTTTCACTCTCCGCCTCGGTCAGCTCCTTCCTAGAATGCCTCCTCACACCGGAGAATGTCAGTAGAGTTTGGGCCGATGGTGTACTGGGCGGCTGCGGTGGTGGTGCGGACGGCAAGGCTTCACTCCCGGCTATTGCAGCTAAGCACCCCACATCACAGCAGGTCGCCCACACGTCGGCCAGCGCTCTGGCTGGTTTAATACGTCTCCGACCTTCTCTGTTCATGTGCGGTCTCATCGACCGAAATGGGACCGCTGCGTTTATGCAGAAATTCAACCCCTCTACCGGATCCAGGGAAAGCCAAACTACGACATTCATGGTACGACCTCGTGTTTGTTTGTGAGATTACATTGCTTTCTAGTCTTAAAACCCATAATGAAGGCTTTAGAATATATAGCAAGTTAACTATTTCCCCTAACTTTTTTGAACAAATCCACGTAGCACCACGACAAAATTTGCTAACATCATCTAAAAAGTGCCTTTAGCTGTCTTGCGCTTTATAATGCACTCTGAGGTTACGTGATGTACTAGCTGTCATTTTAAGGCATTACACACACAATCACGTCCCATGGCAATTCTCCCAATTTCGGTTTGTAGCTGCTCGCTGTCGAAACCTCTCTTGGTAGAAAACACTGAAAAACGTTTCACGTAGGGTCACAACTTGGTCTGTGTAGGGCCTTGAGTCGAGCTAGGAAGTAGACAGAGTTCCACCTTCTTCCTGACACAAAGCAAATGCGCCTGCGCAGACGTTACTCAACACTCGATGACTTAAACATTTCTCGCGGGTCACAGCACCGACTTAAATTCACACAACCTTCTGTGTCGCAAAACTTTCCCAGGTGGTTGTGCGTTTCTGGAAGTGAAAAAAAAGATCATGTATTCGTCAGTGTAAGTGGCAGTTGTGCAATGGCAGAACCCTGTGAGCACTCCTGTAGTTGGTGCGTTTATGTTGCCTCTGTGTACTAACTTGAGACACAGCATGCAGCCTTGGTGAGGATCGTGTTCGCATGCAGGCAATGGGAAGCGCGTGGAAGATATGATTTTTCAAGATCAGTTGCTTGCCGTTTGCAAATAAGCCCTAATAACTTTGTCAAAGATGCAAGCTAGGCTCTGCATTGTTTTAATGGAACACAAATCCTTCGCGGTTTGCCGGTTCTTCACTTCCCAATCCAATTTCACTAGTTTTTGACCGTAGACGGGCGACTGGTGTTTATCGAGTGAGTTATCGGAAGCGGATCTAAACTCAGCGACTTACGGTGTGGTTTGTATTGGTTCACCACGACTGCACCATGTTCCCCTTCGATTGATGTTGCAGTACAGGATCCCCTTTTTTATAACCTGCGGACGATTGCTTCGAGGTTGAGGTGCGCGTTGCAAAATTTGTCCTGTTTCGCTTGGGGGATTTTTGCCAGTTCATGTGGAACTCAAACAAGGCAGCTGTGTAGCACACTTAGCAAACTCTTACACGCCATTAGCTTTCACAACTTCACGAAACCGCAGATTAAATGTGTGGGATGTATTTGTGCACCCTCTCTTAAAATTTACTCTTAGTTGACAGCCCCAAAGCAGTTTGCTCACGACAAGCGTCGAATGTGACCTTGAGCAGTGACGTGTGCAAAATACTTCAAAATTTTCATTTGTGAAACTCGAAATTGCTTCCCAGCCAGCCTTCTACACTGTGCCCATTTAACCCGCGCACCACGGAGCGTCATTCAGTCTTTCCGGTTAACCGTCGCGTTGTGTTAAGTGGTTTTAAACAGGACTCAGTCTTATTGATTTTTGCGTTGTGGTCTTAGAACCAATCAGAGAGCGGACGTGTCATTTCCCATGTGTACCGCCTAGCAACGTGTTAAATCAATGCAGTTTGATAAATTATGGCCCTGAAATTTCTCCACAAAGTTCAATCACCGCACTAACAGATGTCCTTGCTTCTCACACGATGCAATTTCAAGGTCGTGAAGCTGAAGTTCACAAGATCTGCTTAAGTTAACTCTTGAAAAAAAAAGAACAAACTCGCTGTGATTCGTTCTTAACGTTGTGTTGGTGAGGTTTGGACAAGATGCACTGTAATTAATGATAACGAACAACAAGTAAAGGATTAACCGCCTCCAGCGATGTCCAAAGTTAGCAAGTTTCTGCAACTACGGTCTTTATCGTGTGCGAGCTCAAAAGCACCGCGAGTTTAATTAAGATGACCTTCAGGCGATGACTCAAGGTGTAGCAACCAACCAGCACCCTTCTTACAAGTCCGATTTGTCTGTCTAATAGCATGTCCAGGGTTCCGTAATCGTTACCCTTCACACACGCATCTCCGGTGGCCACCACAAGCTAGAACGTCTTCAGTGACTACTTTTTGAAGCCCAAATGTCTGTGCCACGATGCTGTGACTGAGGTTATCAGGGTGGTTAGGGCTCTCCCTCCTCCAGCATCTCCCTGCTTGCCTTATTATCATTTAATCTGCTGTGTGGCCTAAACATTTTGCGGTTGTGTGTGTGTGTGTGTGCCTGTCATCGTAAATTGACGGAAGTGGTGTGTTTTTGAGGTGCCACCCGCCACCCTTCGACCTCGCTTTTTCCGGTAATCTTTCATAGCTAATCACCATGGCTGAACTACCACTAAGTATCACTCTTTTATACATAGGTAGCGGAAGGAGCGGTAGCCGATTGAGTTAACTGAATTTATAATTGGCTGTGAGTGGGTTAAGATATTGCAAATCAATTCGCAGAGAGCTTTCTACCATTGAACTTTGAATGCTGAATATTGGGGTCAAAAGAAACAAAGTAATAGTTGTTGCTTGAATTCGTTTGATCCCTGAGTGTATGCGTTCTCGGTATTTGCGTTAACATCGAAACAGGGACCAGATCGCAACACATATTTTGACAAACCAGTGACTCGGATACTTGGAACTACGCATGTTTTGACGAAATTTGTGTTTTGTGAAAATTCGAACCTCTCATTAGCTACGTGGATTTTGTGCGCGTTTGGGTACTATGGCGTAACGACTTGCAGTAAATCTGAGTTTTTTACTGTGTGAACGCGAGAACACCTCTTCTGCGTGCTTTCGAATTTGCTTGGAAATAAGGGATATTAAAATGGCGATGCAGCCAGACTCAACAACCGTAAAAAGTAAACGTATTTGCGACCTGTTTGATCTCCAGGCTAAAAAATCCCTTTTTCTGAATTTCGCACTGAAAACCCTGCAAATTGTGGGCTTTTGTTGTAGTCCTATCAAAAATCAGAGTACGTGATTTTAAAATGCTACTTTAAGCATGGCGTTTCTGTGCTGTGTAGTACTTGCCTGAATTCTTTTTGTGTAGCAGTTAATGAATTATTGGTAGTGCATAGGTTCAGAATGGGTTCATGTTGTGAGCGTTTAAGAAGCTGCACAGGTTTAAGCACAACCAGGTTGGATCATTTGAAGACGAGGTCAATATAACCGTCTACCCTGTCTCGCGTGTACACCAAGAATCCTGATTTAACCAGCCTATAAGAGCTCTAATCTAGCAGCCTTTCTAAGGTTTTGGATCTGCAATTGCGTGTTCTGCAATGTAATTAATAATGTTGAAGCTTCTGCGATACGGTATGCAAATAACCGGTAATTCGATCCCCTTTTACTAGGCCCCACCTGTTCTTCGGCAATTGGTCGATCATTCTTATTGCAGCCAATAGCTACTCGTGCGCAAATTCGAATTTTAGGCCTGCCTCCTGTCAGCGACGACTATTGGTTTACTCCTGCCCCTCTCGTTCCGTGGTAAACCACTCGGCTCGTCGTCGCTTCGCATTGGGCTCAAATCAGGCACTCCGGTGGCCTGTCGGCGTCTTCTCAACAATCCCCGCTTCATGGCGGCAATCACACGCCACTTTGAGTCGCCCCATGTGATGCTGCGTGCCAAGGCGTACCTGCTAACTGCCGCCGCGCTCGACTCCTCCACCGCCTGCAGCGACAACCTCGTGGCAGCCTGCGAGGCGCGTCTTCCCTCGTGCCTTGAACGCGACCTTCGAATGACCAACCAGCACTACACCCCCAAGACGCTGCTCGAGGAGGACAGTGTGCTCATCGACGGTGACGAAAGCAGCCACGAGGCTGCCAGCATGCAGGGCAGTGTCTCAGTGGCGCCTGAACTGCGTTACCTAGGAATTTGTGTCAGACACCTCTCCGACCTGATCATCTACAGTCTGGTGCCGAATATCTGCAAGCAGGTGGGTCTTTGTAAAGTATGACTCGCATTTATCTCCCCAATCGTGTATATTTAATTGCACTCTGATCCCCTTCGAAAGATCGCAATTGCCATTGGTGCGCATCCAGCCCCTGTTGCGCGAACCGCCTCCAAGGCTGCCACAAAGTCAGCCAAGCCCTCCGCGATGATGACGTCGAGCACGTACCAGGAGCGCTCCAAGCGCAATGTTGCCTCCGCCGGTGCTGCCAGTCGACTCCATACAGGCGCCACCTCCAACGTCGGCGCTTCCGGCGTCTCCCTCAAGACCTGGCTACCCGCGTTCTCCTGCCTCCCCGTCATCCTTGCCTCGTCTGCCTCTGTGCGAAACAGCCTACTGCTGCCTGCAACGGACAGCGCTTTCGAGTGCGAAGGACACTTCTGCTTGATTGAATTCATCTCAAAAATCCTCGATCACTGGGCTTCGACAGTCGGTAATTGATGCCACGTGTTTCTACCCCCCTTTCGTCGCGTCTTGAATGCCTGAGCGATTCCCGTAGCATCGTAAATGCCTGTAAAATGAGGCCTAATCTCGATTAGCAGTACACTCACAAGGGCTCAGGCAGGCTGTGCGCGCTGACACAAATCAGGAAAGCGCCTCCGGCGGTAGAACACGACCCCACAGTTTGCACTAAATCACGCGTGCGCCTTCTCAGGGGCAGGGCGCGTGGTGTGCTTGCTCAAGATCGCACCTGGCGCATACCGCGCACACGAGCGCGCACACACCTACGCACGCACGCACACACGCACACACACCGAGAGGACTATTGATTGACATTAAAGGCAAAGCGCGAGGGCAGACTGCCGGCACACTCTAGTGGAGGGGGTATGTTCGTCTTCTGACTCTTAAAATCACGGTAAGAGGCCCCAGGCTGGAAACGTAAAGTCCAGACATCCAGCCGCTGGTTCGTTTGGTGAGGCTGTCGCTCTCAGGCGACATTTGAGTTGGTGGTGGGCCTGAGGGCGCAAGTCACGTGGCCTTCGCAAATACCTGGTTCCGTGATCCTACAATGTTGCAGGGTTTTGGCAGAGATGTGAGTCAGGCTTTGCATTGTCTCGGTGGGAACGCGAATCCTTCGCGATTTACCAATTCTCTTAGCCGTTGACCTCAAACAGTCGGCTGTTTTCTATTGCGTGATTCACTGAAAGCAGGTCAAAACTCACCACGCCATTTCAGCAGCCTGTGGTATGGCTTGTGCTGGTTCATCGCTGCACCATGCTCCTTTTCGATTCATGTTGCAGTACAAGATCCGTTTTCCTTCGCGTGCGATGAATCTCATCAAAACGTGGACGCTCGCAGGTTTTGTATTGTTGTGCTAGGCGGATTTCCCTTTAGTTCATGCCGGACTCAAACAAGGCGCCTCTTAACGAGTGTAGTACGCGTCAAGCGATTTTTACTCATCGTGTGGCACACTTAGCAACCGCCACACACAATAACCACCTGGAGTTTTACATGCGTATATCCCAATCTTTGTTTTTAAGTGTCCCTTTGCCATTTACCTGAAGTCCAAAATTTGGTTGTGAAGGGAGCTGAAATCGTGATGCATCAAGGCAGTCAATGATGGTGATATCAATACGTGTTCAGAATTCCATTAAGACAAACACAGCGCTGTTAGTTAAAACCGAGATTAGATGCTAGCATTGAGCAACCTCGCGGGTACCTCTTGTTGGTTTGTTTTCAAATTCTTGTTCCATCATTCCACATGGTGGCGATTGGGTCGCGTTTAACCACGCCGTCGCCAAGAAATTGTGAAATGCGGACGTGAGCTTCACCCACATGCCCATTTGAACCAATGTGACTTGGCATGAGGTTATTTTAACGCCTTTTGCCACAAAGCCAATCATTCCTTCTCTACCTACCTCGAGGGGGTTTTTGTGTGTTGAATAGCTGCCAGGCGTATTCTTCAAGAACTCCGCCTTTCTTCACTTAGCACTACAGCGCTTTTTCCCCAAATATTTCAATCATTCCTCCACCAATAGAATTAACTCATAAGGCTGCAGTTGTACTTCGCGTTGCTTAGTGCTTCTTTTAACACTACTTGCACAAAATCGCCATCGCTACGATTCGACTGGAGCAAACATTTGTATATTTCATGGTTAGGAATGGGTCTGTGCGTGAGTGTAACAAGTGTCTTCAAATTCCATAAAAATAGGCTCTAATTCGTGAATTCATCTAGCCTGGATTTTCAATTTTTGGCGCTTGCTTTTACCGTTCTAGGTGACATTTGTCAATCATTTGCTCGGATCGGGGTAAAATTGGGCTGTTGAAACACGCCTCGCCCTAACAGGAAATCAATTCGCGTAACTGGAACCCGCCGTTAGCGGTTTTTGCCTCTTTTCGTGGTGCGTGACTAATGCCCCACGCATAGGCGGTGCCGTAGTTACCTCACGCGTCAGCTCCTGCTCTATCTCTCTCTCTCCTATTGCAACTTCCCACGTTGGCGTCCCCATGGTAACAAATAAAAGCACTGGTATTCACTGTGGCTTGTGTTTATCACAGCAAGCGCCACTCATGGAGCCCGGAGATCGCAGCCTCTTCCACCTCCATGATATGCTGAATCATCATCGACGGCGACGACGACGATGATGATCATGATGATGTTAAACACTTTGAGTAGTTCTTTTATTGCTCGAGGTGAACCTCGCCCTCAGCCTTTGTTTGGTGCAACGAAACACCCCTCGCAACACGGCCTCTAGCTGTGTTCGTCATCAGCGTTTCGAATTGTTTTGTCTCTGTTCCGTTTCGGTGGTGCGTGTGCACACGAATCGGCTGTTTTGGTTGCGGTTGAGGTGCGCCAATGATTCATTCCAGTACTGCAGCGCTCACGCGCCATGATGAATACTCATGCAAATTTCCTACTCGCTTCGTTTGAGTGCTTTCGAGTGACATCGTCGTCATCGTCATTACCACCACAACACTTTCACAATACCCGTGATTGCGTCGTGCTTGTGCCATTGTGTAAACGTGCATTGTGGCAGCACACATTCAGTAGCAACTCGTTGATAGGCTGATTCGCATTTCAGTTCATTCGGAGGGTGTTTGGGTTAGCGAATGCCGCGAGTTCAGGCAGACGTGTGTGTTTGTTTCTTAAGGCACCTTCTCGGGAATCCACCAGCCCGGCAGCCTGGAGCACCAGCTGTTGGGCCTGTTGCTCGCACTGGCCGAGGACATGAGCCGGCAGCTCGACGTCGTTGAGGGCAGACGCGCCGACCTCATCAAGTGCCTCCTGCCCGCCCTCGCACGACTAGCGGTCGCACCTGTCTCCGACTCCATCACTCGCGCCATCTGCGTGAAGGTAAGCACTCGCAACCACCCTTTCAGCAATCTGCTCCTGTAGATTGTCATGCATGTCCTTTGGTTTTGAGCATACCCGATTTCGGGTGGCTGAGATGGCGATTTGCCAACTAGTTTGACCGAGTGACGAAACGCTGCGCTGACTTCAATAACACATTTCTCGGCAAACACTTTAGATCATTCTGGACATGAAGAATGTGTGGTGTGGTGGCGGTGAGGACAACGACTCCGTGACCTCGTCCAACATTAGCCTCAATCTGCCGAGGAGCCCCACAAGTCGTGCTCCCGGCCTCACGCGCTCGCCGCTCTCCAGCGACCGGCTGAACCTGAACAACTCCGCGGTGCCGGCCTCCCGCACCACCGCCCCCGGCCACACGACCTCCCTTCGGGGCGGCGAGAACAAACGACCCTCCTCCTCCTCCGCCGCCTCCACTCGCTCTTCCTCGTCGCGCGTCTCCTCCTACCGCCCCAACAGCTTCTACGGCAAGAGCTCCAGTGGAGTCAGCAGTCTCCGCGGCTACCGCTTCACGCCCAACCCCAAATCCGGTGTCCAGGGTCCCTCGCCTGAGGTTCTCCTTGCCGTTGTCGACATTGTAAACAACCTTCTCATCCCCTATGTGAGTTATGCGCGTATTTACGCTGCGGAAATTTATAAAAAAATACTTTACCACGATTCTGTGTAGTAAATTACATGTCGGAGGTTGACACAGACAGTCACGCAAACGCAGGCCCACTGTTTGAGTGAACTCGCGATCTGATTGGTTGGCCCTGACTGTTCGTGTTTCATGGCCTCATTGAACAGAAATTAATTTGGCTACTCTGCCAGATTGTGAGAGGGGTCTGTGGCAAGAATTAGGTAATTGTTCGACTTCACTCGGAATCTGGCTATGCCGCTAGTGACGAAGGTGAGAGGGGCGTCACCGCCGCACTGCCATTGGTCACTGGTTGCTAGGTTTGTTAGAGGTGTGTCCACTCTCTTATGCTTTCCAGTGATGTCCACATTCTCCCTCTCTTTCTCGCCTACTCTGCATTCTTACGTTTTGTTTGTCCCCCAAGATTCAACCAGGTAAGACGCAATTTTACTCGGTGACGGGCGCTCACCCGATACCCCACACAGTGCACCCTTAACCCCCACCTCCTCTCCTCATCGACTCGAGCATGCATGCGTGTTTGCGCTAACACACACACTCACCCAAGTGATCAACATCGGTAGGCACGTCTTTTCCTGTCGCATAAACAAGTCTCTGTGACCAGCCAGTCCTGTCAAACTGCAGACCGCACTAAGACAGAGCGAGAGTAAGTTGGCAGCACAACGTGAATTTAAGAAAAATAACGGGGACGGATCCGCTGCTTGATTCAAAAGAGACTTGTCTCCCTCTTACGGTAGAACGCTTGGCTAGGTCTGGGCCACAGGTAGGTGATTTGTGTGCTTGTTTGTGTTAAATGCCAACCGACCATCGTCAACTCACCCAAGCCGCCGCCACCTAACCTGTTCTGCCCTCTAAGAAGATTTGTGGACTGGACTCACGAGGTCTTTTCGTGTAGGCGTCTCGTCTACTGGACCCCAATGAACCCGCGCCATCCGCCTACTTCCTGCGCCTCCTTTTGGACTGCCTCCACTCGCCGCCTCCCCCGTCCCCTGCCGCCACCACTACCACCGCCACCACCACCACGCCGCTCTCACCGAACCGTCACCAGCCATGTGTAAATAGCCGCCTCTTGCCCCCCGTCTACGTCGCCGCTTGGCGCACCTCCGGTCTTTGTGCACGCTTCGTGCACTTCCTCGCCGCCTGCGACGCTGGAAGCCACCGATTCTCCGCGCACTGTCTCCTCGCCCTACGCCTACTATCCACCCTCTTCTCCGACTACCCCCACGAAACAGGCCTCCTCGATCTCCTCATTGAGCCTCCTATCAAGCAAAAGCATAATATCGTCAGTGTTGCCTTCGCAATGGTGGTCGCCATGGGTAGTTCCATTCTTCGTCGCGGGGTGTGTCTCATTTCCTAATCGCATATAATCACGTGTACTAAAACAGCATAAGTATAAGGTTTGTATTACATTAAGCGACGTGATTCCGATGTGGGATCAACGAACTCCCCGGTGCCGAAGGTGCGCTCCGCGACTCCCTCCTCATCACGTGGACGTCCGGTTTTATTGAAGATTTCAGCGGAAACAGTCGGCGTGCCGCATCTGCTTGCAGCGCTAGATCTACTAAACGTTTTGCTGACGATAATCGCAGATGTTGTGCGTTACGCGCTCCTCTGCCGACAGCAAAAACAAACTCCGAATCAGCGTCCAGTCCCTTCCTCTGCACGAAGCAGGACAAATGGCTATGGTATTAGTGCTTACTTACCCAAGGACGCGGAGAGTGTTTGCGCCGTCGCAGAACAGGTATGCATTGAACTCGTCGAAATCTTGCGCAGTTTTAATAATGTGAAATTGTCCCGATTCCCATGTCAATTTGTTACATTCCTTTGCTAGCTTTTGTCGACCGCTCGACCGCCAAACCATCTGCCAGGAATTCTCGCCTCCCTCCTTGAAGCCTCGTCGCCAGACTCTCTTGACTCTGAATATACACCCGAAAATGCTGAACATGACAACGGCGACGTGTTCACCTGCGCCCCCCAATCACCAGCCGAGCACTTGGTTGCCTCGGCAACTGCCTCTCTGGCTAGTCTTGCGTCTCTCTACGGTGGGGAGTACTGTCGCACCGCGCTGTCCGCTGCGGGTCTGCGTGGCTTCGCGGTGGCTATTCGTCGGCGTCGTCGACGCAGCCGCACGCGACTGCTTCTGCGCATCCTGCGTCGCCTCTGCGAGTCCGACACAATGTGCACGCGGCGCATGACCAGCCCCGCCGCGAAGCACCTCCAGTCGGCGATCTGGCGGCTGCGCTCAGCCCACGACGTCGACGGCGCCGGCGACTTCGACACCCAGGACGCCGCCACTGTCCGCTTGGCTGGGGCGCTGCTAGAGCGACTGCACTCTCATCGCGGCGCCCTGCTTCTCTGACCCGTAGGTGCTTCCACAAAGTGCATAACATTAATGTGTGCAACCAAACCGACATCAATTAAGTAAGGTTTCAAGTTCGGCATTTCATTGGTAAATTAAAAAGTATTCTAAGCACAAGCGTTCCTACACCCTTGCACTCCTCCGATTGGTCCAATTGCCCGGCGACCCAGGAAGTTGATCGTATCAATTTACCCATCGATAAGGTCACTGAAGTAGTGGCGTAACATAACATCAACGGCCGGTGTGTAATGAATCTCGGTTATGGCTGTGTTCTGCCCATTTTAGACCTCCTAAGTTTCAACCTTCGCGTCAAGTGACTTCCCCAAGTGTCGTGGCACCGGCAGCCTCCCCTGCGACTATCACGCCGAAGTCCCCTCCATCTCTTCTCCACAGGCCTTCCCAAACACACACACACACACACACACACGTGATTTTCGTTTCCCCACGCCACCTGTACATACCGAACCCACCAGTCTGCTTCAACTCAAGAGAACTCACCCCCTTCTACCCATGTCCTTCGTGCCTAGGCTGATGCACACCCAGAAAATTGTGATACATTTACTTCTTCAACTGTAGGCGAGCGCTCTGGCACCCCACACCTTCTCAAATCTGCCATTTCGATCAAATGTGTTCTTGTTGCCATCTCCTTGTGAAATCACACACCCCCTCTCCCCTCCTTCATTAAACAAGTGTATATTTTTTGTTCCCAATTGCAAAGAAACACCCAGATTGATTAACCTGGGTTATTTGACTCACGACGGCGTGCAGTGCGGCGCACATGAGCGGTATCGCGTTCTAACCTCACCAGTCAGAGCGATAGCATAGCATGACTCACACCTGCATTTTTCAGTGTGGCATTCAAGATGTTGTTACAGGTGTTTTGTGATGGCGTGGTGGTGCACAGTGAAGTGGAAACCCCTTCACTAAGTGGAGGGGTTAATAAGATGATATCACCTTTCAGCTATGCTCTAGTCTAAGGAGGCGTGGGTGAACTGAATTCCGCAACTGGACTGGTCCCTCTCTCTCTCCAAAGTGATTGAAATCGAGTAAGCTCGTCTTTAGCAGGCAAGATGAACGTTGTCGACCGCTGCAACCCTCCCACAATGCACTTTCACGGTGCTTAGACGAGGAATTTCTGTCTTTTCGGCGTGCTCAGCGCTACCGATGACGTGGTCTCGGACTGCGCGTGTGAGAAGAACAATTCTGCCTGATGCACGAGTCGTCACTGAGTTTGGTTAAGTACAATCACAAAACCGTCAGTTGCTAGGACATGCAGGTATTCGCATCTATCAAATGAAGGTGACTTTGTTCAATACCAATATTGTGAATTCCTAGAAAAAGCAGGGGTTTCAGAGCAATTGCATCAGAGATGTAGTGATAATGGCCACCTCATAACACTTCCATGCTAGATTAAAACAGTAGCTGTTGAATAACTGGTTATTTAATCCAGATTGACGTAGCGCCAAATGAATGACTGATGATTGAAAATACTAGAGTAGGACTCCCAGATGCCAGCGAATCCCGTCTTAACTTGCAGTGCTCTAAGCCTTCAATTGCGACTCCGGCGTCACAGGTAACCGACAACGATGCAGGTTACTGGTTACACGTTGAAGCCAAACTTGGCACTGGAATTTGGCATCGTTTACTTTAGCAACGTTTTCGTGTTGGTTTTCCCACGAAGATCTATTTCAACAGTTAATGCATACGAGATCTCTTTTACATTGGCCTGGGGTGACCTGTTGGAAAAAATCCCACCCTAGACAAAAGTGCATTCGTCAAGCGGACACGCCATTACCACACACACGCACACACACACACAAATGGGTACCGTCTAATCGAAGGCCCACGCTAATTGGTCAGCCCAGCTAGCCAATCACCGTGTAGCTGCCTTGCACGTTGGCGCATCCTTCCTACCTGTACAGTATGCAGCCACTTCCAGTATGAAAATGCACCTAATTCTGTACACGGGTTTAGCTGCCCTCGCACTCCTCTCCTTTCACTGCTGCCAGGGTGAAAATGCACCTCCACGGGACATCCACGTCTATTCATACATCTCCACGGTGACTGCTCCCGATCAGAAGGAATTTGCGCAGTCAGTAAAGGGTCATGTGTTGGTGAGCCTCCGAGGTATGGCTCCACGCAGGAAGCCGTCTGGTGCCGTCGGACCAGCCCAGCAACTTTTGGTGCAAATTCTCCTCAGTCTGGAGACATCACCGGGTCCATTCGCGGGACTGCTTCTGCTTGATAGCCACGGGCTGGCGGAGAGGCTTTTGCTGCCACCCTCCACGAACTCCTCTGATACGCGCGTCAACTTCCTCAAGGCTGTTGCCAGTGTCTTCAGCTACCACAAAACATTCGAACCGGGTGTGGAGTACGACGCGTCTGGGAGATGCGGCACGTTCTACGGGGAAGTGGCAAACCCCGATGTGGGTAGTTTGGATCCAAGGAAGATCTTGGTCGTCGACAAGCAGAAGCTCCAGTGCGAACCCATAGGGCAGCCAATAGACGCAGGCGTTTGGAGTGTCTCACCGATTCTAAGGGACAAACGTGTGACCCACAGCTGGATGCGTTACTACATCAGACGTGACACCGGCCTACTGCAGAAGGCAATGACCTTCGAAGAACACAAGATTACTTTCGCTCTCGATGGCGACGTGTCTGGGAGAAGCGAACTAAGTGTCAGTGGCGAGCAGATGCTCGAGTTGTTGGACGATGAAAGCAAAGAAAGGAAGACAGTGCTTGCTAAGCTGAGTGGTTTAATGAAGACATCTACGTCGACTCAACTCTCATCGGTAAATTTCCACTCATCTGTGTCATTACTTGTTTAGTCTAGTCAACCTAAGCACTTCACACTAATGCAAAACTGGTAAATGCCAAGACATAGAGACGTTAATTCAACCAAATTCACTTGAATATGTAGGTTTAACGCACTGCACTGTAACGAAAAAATACAAGATGGTGGAAGGGCGATCTGTGTGTCAGAACGAAGCAGAGGAGTAGCAGTTTGTGAGTTTGCGATCTCATCAGAGGCCCACCGATAATCAAATCGGCGATTTGGACGTACTTTAGTTTACAACCTGCAATTTTTCTGCGTGTGTGCGTAGTGCAACATTTTTGACTGTCCTCTTTTTTAAGTCATGCAAAATTGGTTCAATAAGAGGCGTCCGCCGCTGGGGGAGGCGGGGTGGCGAATCTCAAGGTCGGGCCAAAAATTCTAAAAGGTCAAGCATACCTTTAAGGTCAGATTTGTAGGGGCAAACAAGCAAATGGATGTGCGGTTTCAAAATGTAGCGGAAGTTTACTAACGGATAATTTATGAATGTGTATCAGTGTGCCAACAAGGAAATGTGATCACGATTTTGAGTCTCAAAATAAATCATGGTGCAGTCGCTTTCCAACTGCCACGAAATCTCGCCCTTGGATGAAACCTGGTCCTATGAGGGCTTAACTCGACCCCGAGTGTTGAACCTTTTTGAAAAAAAATCTTGTTTTAATAAGGAAGGTTGAGTTACCTGTTCAACCAATCAATTTTGTCAATTTATGTCCAATTTTATGACTGGCAGAGACACGCATTATTGTTAGCACAACCCTAAAAAAGTTTATTTCATTTAATTTGTGCCCAGGCTCAATATTCACGGTAAGACACTAAAAGTTCAAACCTCGTCAGATTGAGTGCTGGAACTGCAGCAAGACACTTTGCGCGACGTTGACTTGGCTCGTGTTCACATTAGTCGAATTCAACACGGTGACTGCAATGTAAATGCTACAAATCGTTCTGGGCGTTGATAATGACTTTTGCCATGGATCAGCGAATAACAACAGACGGACTGCCTGTTAAGTGGCCGCAGAGAGAGGGACGAAATGTTGGCAATTCGACCGTGTTTCGCTATTTAAAACATACCGGGTTCCACACGTTTCGATTGAATAGAAAAAAACTGAAGTGCACCGTCACTCTCGTTTGTCTTTTCGCCCTTCAACAAAACACACTTTTCATAGACTATGTTATACTTGTAGATGAAACTCGTTTGTGCATAAAAACATATTGCCAAAAGAAGCTGGTTGCGTTGAAGTTAAAGGGTGGAATCTAGGGCAAAGGCCAGAATGCCGCATCGAACGAAAGTGCTATTATGTGTTAGGCGTGTGGGGAAATCACTGATTAGTCGTTTTTTGGCCAAATTACAGCTTTGGCGAAGTTCTGTGAGACACCAATTCAACTCCGGGGCTAAACTTCAACTAAAACCTTCAAATTTGTTCAACTAGAGAGGTACCATCATTCACCATGGCAACGCAAGACCACTGTCGTATTCTCGTGATTTTGCCCCGTTAGATTTTTGGTTGTTTCGATCGATATAAAATAATTTTCATGGCGAAGCACCGATTCCATGGGAGAATTTAAAAACTACCTCCCGACTTGCATTCTCTTGTCACCGAGACTACCATTACACAAACAAATATCGATTAATATGTATCATTTTTAATGCCGTATTTTCTTTGGCATCAAGTCATGCACGAACTAGTATATTCATCCCAGATATCATATCTAGGCATTAGCCCTAAGTGTTAGGCAAGTGTGCGCAAAAGCAGCCGACAGTATACATCAAACGACAAGGCCAAAACAACTTAGGCCGGATAATGCTTAAGGCCATCGCATGGCCTGGCTTCGGCCCTGGTAGTCGTGAGTGTCCACGTCATCACCAAAAATATACAAAGTTACGAGGGCTTCTGTACCTGACGCCTCGCGCGTGCGCAGGTGTTTACTTCCGGTGTGTCCCTCTTTGTGCATCACAGGCATCGAAATTCATGCTAGAGGGCCATGTTTACTTGTCGCAGTGTCATAACAGTGATAGGTGCTACGTTTGAAGCTTAATCAAAACCTGCGCATAGCTAGAGGCACGTGTGTGAATTGGGCGAGTGTGGTTGCCACGCGTCAAGTGTAGGGATCAGCCAATGGGATGCGTGCGCCGTCAGAATGAAACAGGTACAAATACGGTAAAATATGCAAGCTGTCTACAGTAAGATTCTACGTATCTTGACTGAATATATATGCAACGGTCTCTTTAAAGCACATAGTAAAGCATCGATCTGCATTCGTGTTTAACGCGTTCGCAACGTTTCCGGAATTTTGACGATGTTCACAGAACTTCTGGCTAGGCACCCTATCACAAAATTCCATTGGTGTTAAAATCAGTGTCTGATTATGCGATCGGAGTTGTCAATTTATTTGCAAATTTTTAGTACACCAGAAATAAGGCATTTTTACTAATTTTATTCCTTCCTTGTTTCGGCAAATTTGCACACAAGTTATGTTATCAGCCCACTTCTCCTACTTTGTAGTGTTAGTAAAGGAACATAAAATCTGTCATGTAACTTGAAATGGGTCAAAGTAAACAGAAATTCTTGATCAGACAGGTAGAGTGCCCTGTGACAATGTCGGTTTAAATACCACGATTACTGTGACATCAAGACGACTTTTGAGGAAGCTGCTTCGTGCAGTAATGCGAAACTCAATGTACACATTTCAGATCGCCTCGGACATTCTGGGCAAGGGATTCCAGGTGGAACATTTGGCTCTCGAGGTCCCTCGGCAGCTTGGTTCGTCAGGGTGCGGTATTCAGTCAGTCGCCTTTGAAGCCGAGACCCTCAATAGTCCCAATGTGGCCCTCTCGCTGTCTCTGCTGCAAGAGAAACTGAGGGGCTTCGAGAAGGTCATCGATCAGCCCGCGCGCATCTCGTCAGCCCACGCCTCGCTTCAGCTCATCCGGTTCCTTCGCTGTCTGCCCTCTGATCTCATCACGGTGCAGACTGTGTCGACGGCTCTCGGCTTCATTCCTACCTCGAACAAGGACCTCCATCGCCAAGTGGAATCCGGTTGGCACAACCAACTGACTGACATTGTCGTCAATTGTGGGACAGAGCTTTGTCTGGAGCTGCTGAGACAGCGCCTCGTCAAGGTCACTGAGTTGGCAGCTTTTAGTAAATTGGGTACTGCGGCCCCACGTGAGGTGCGCCCCGCCAGAACCTATCTGCTGAGTCAGCTTTGGCCGGCACTGGCTCACATCTCGAATCCATCATTAAAAATGTTTAGGGAACTCTTTGCTCTTTGCTATCACTCACTTCCAGCCATGGAAAAGGTGTTCCTGGCCAACGAACTTGAATCGGACAGCCCTTATACCTGTCTCCTAACAATTTCTACCATCGCATCGCGATTCAGAGGAAGATACAATGAAGAAAGGCTTCTCTTCTCAAAGGTCGCAGAAATTTTGGCCAGCTTTATTACCCTGGACGACAAAGAATACGTGGACAACCAGTTTACCCGTACAAAATTGCTCGCAGCTTTCACAGCAGCAGAGCAGGTAAAAGCGGCCAGCCTATCGGAACCGCTTCTTTCTCTTGTTCAAAATTCTAAAATTCCATCAGTTCTTCGAGCTGCTGGTCTCAAAGCGTTGGGTAACCTTGCATTTTCAGACGACACCACGGCGATTGCCACAATAGTCACCAAACTTTATGACATCATTGACTCTCCGGCACGAGGTCCACTATTTGCTCGTTCTGAAGACGAACTGATTGTCAAATTTGGTGCATTTTCTGTTCTCCTCAACATCGAGGCACCAGCTCCTCAGCTGGCAAGAATCCTTTCAAGGTTTGGCTCAAAGAGACAGTGGTCACTAGTGGCTAGTTGCCGGCGTCTTGTTGATAGCTGGTGCGCGGAAGAACTTCTTCCTGAAGAGACGTGCCAGTGTATTCGACGTGGTGGCCTTCTACGCACGGGCAGTAAGAAGCAGCCTCAGGTTTGTTCTCCCGGACTTGCAGCTGGGTGGTCAGGATTGGCGGGAACAAAAGCCGCAGGAGAGATAAACCTTATTTCTGGTGACCTAGTGGATCACCGGCCCACATTTCTCTCCGATTACTCGCTTCAGTGGGTCTGCGGACCTCATGGTGAGTTCCGGAGCTCGAATCTTGCCATCAATCTGATTGGCGCTGAAAGCGAGGCCAAGCTAATGAGCTTCAATTTCTATGCTGACCAACTTGCAACGCTGATGGGGAAGGATGACACGAGTGCATCCCCTTGGCTGTCAGTTGGGTTCTCCCTCCTACGTGGCACAATTCCTCCCAGGCAAATATTCTCAGGCAGTTTGACTGAAATATGGAGTATTCTTACCACTACTCCGAATCAGCCGACTCCGTTTTTCCTGACATTAAGGCTTCCTGTAGATGTAAGACGTTATATTCCTCTATCGTCCGGGTGGGTATTGCGAAATGACATGCTCGGTGTGACTTCAATGGAACTCTCAGGAGCGCTAAAGTCAAGTGTGTGGAGCCAAAGCGGATCATCACTTATTCGTACCAGAGCAGCTGTTGCCATAGAAAATCTCGTCACCTTGGTACCATCCAGGAACAACGACAACACCAACCTCCCCGTGGTGACCTTAGTGAATGGAATGGGGTCAGCAGCACGTCTTGACTTTGTCATACAACTAGAGATGGGCGGTTTGCCCGATTCCATATGCATGTTATTCCGGCGCGAAAAGACCACGCCAATTCTTCGGTGGACTGGGGAACACGTGGACGCACCGGTGTTGAGACAACGCGAAAACTTACTGCGTCCTCTTCCCAAGCCCGAAGAAGGCAGCAACAAACACTACGTGCTAACCCAGTCTCTGCGTCTACCGCCAGCTTCATACTTCCTGGGAGCGGCAAATGCCGCCAGATGCCGAACCATGGAAATTTCTGACGGCTGGAATTAAAGCCTTTCTGTAGAGTGAACTCCTGCGCCGAAAACTCTCATTCCAACTAACATTTTGCAGCAATGGGAAATTTTTATGTGCCCTTAAATCACACATGTTTTTGATCAGCCCCGCTTTTGTTCGCAAGTTTCATGGGTTTGCGGCAGTAGGTTTCTTGCAAAATTCACAATCTTGCTTTGTTTTCGTAACTTAAAACGATTAAGTGCAACCGCGATTTTCTTGTGTTACGTTTTGTCAGCATTAAACGGTTACTTTGGGCAGTTCCCGTGAAACACCGACCATGGACGCCAATAACAGAAAGTTCAAAACACGAATTGCTGCCAGAAATTATGACAAGCATTGCTTCGATCGCAGTTTGAATTTTGTATTAATTGTCAAATAATGTACAAAGTGCTATCCAAAAATGGGACAAAATATTAGTGACAAGTAACGTGTAAAAACATGGAGTGGGGAGGGTAATTATCGCAGCATATTATTCTAGTGAGGCAGTTATTTGGTTCAAGATGGCATTTAATTTCATATATATTAGTAATTTGCCGATGGCACTTCATTCTTTGTAATAAAAAAGGCAGGCTCCCTACCTAATCAAACGTAATAAGCAAAGAACATTTATAAGTGCTTGTTCCAGGTTTGAAATTGCTGTTTCGATTCTTTTACTAGCTACTGTCAATTTAGAGGCTTGTCATGAGAATCACATACTCTGTAGTAAGTGATGAGCTGTAGACAAATTCTGTTTTTTTCTCCAACCGATAAAATCGAGAGCAAGCACTAATTTTTTACGGTATCGTGGGCAAAATTTGCAGCACTCAAGATAACCGCTAATTCGGAACTTTCATGAACAGGGGTGATTAATGTACATTACCGTAATTTGTGCCACCTCTTTCCAACGCGGCAAAATGAAACAGAAATGTACCTCCAGGGTTAAAAGTTGAAAAAAGGGTTTCAGGTAAGTAAATGCGTTAGTTCTATGCATGGAGGCGTTCGAAGCCAACATCCCTTGTCCAGAAGTGGTTTAGGTCAATCGGATTTTAAAAGTAAATCTTAGGGCTTATTGAAGCATCCAAAAGGCTTATTGAATATGTTTGATAAACATTCGAGTCTAAACAAAATAAAGTAGCAATGAGCGACGGAGAGTTGAGAGTTATTGTGTACCAAGCTGAACACTAGGTAGTTCAAACAGGTAAGTACAAAGATGCCTGAGTAGATAAATACTGCAAAATACAACAATATTTAACAAATTCAATGGCTGTAAAAGATCGCTCAAAGTTTCTAAAAATGAACATTTTCGTAAAGAAATGAGATAGCATTTATAAATCTGCTATGTAGACACGTCAGTAAACTTTAAGTTGCCAAAGACTAAAAGATATTGCACTTTGTCCTGGATTTTATATTTTGGAAAATATGACGTAAGCATCAATTAGGCTAAGAATAGGAGACCTCATTCATGATTAACACTAACAAACGAAGCTCCATTTAATATATATAACCAAACCTGACTCACCGAATTAAACCAGTATGAAAAAGTCGACAGAGGTTTCCCACATGCTGAGGTAATGTTTATTTACACAATGAATATACGTAGTTTAATAATGAGCTTATCAGGGTGAGAAAATTGATGCCGAATTTTTCTTTTCTTTTAAGGAAGAATTAAGGTTATTAACGAGTTGCCATGAGAGTGGTATCAACGTTTCCAAAAAATTAGTGCATCTGTAAAACCAGTTGTTGCATGCTGACTCATCTATCAAAAAAATATTATTTATTTATTTAGATAAATATGTACGAAAAAACCTTCATTTTAAAGCCGAATCACCAAAATCAGAATCTGACGGCGATTATTTGACTATTCACCTGATAAATTATTCGTAAGATAGTATATAAAATCACCTAAATAAACTTTGAATTTACACTTGGCCTTTAATTTAATAAATTTGTTATCATAGAAATTAATGAGTACTTTATATTTTTCAAAATATAATTTATTGTTTAACCAAGTAATTTGCGGTGCCTTCTTCTTGAACTATTAAGGCTTTCTTTTGCGCTTGCATTGGCTTGTATCGATTAAACGATTGGGTCGTTCATCCTGGATGTTTTCCTGCAAATACGATGGCTACGAGGAAGACTCCTCCTCAAGCAAGTATGGCAGCTTTGAATCGTGGTATTTTATATTTAGCTCAACTGATAATGAACAGGATTTTCGGAATGCTGATGCTTTCGAAAAAATGATGAATCTGGAATTGGAAGCTGATATGAAAACATTAACACAATGCTACCGCGGTCGAGAGGCTGCTACTTCAAAAGGTTTTTTTTATTAACAGTGTCAATGCAATTCCATGTTGCTGGAATCGCTGGTTTCCTTAATGTAACTTCTTTACGGTTTCTTACATTTTTTTTACCAAGCGTAACCTAACTCCTTGGTTTATATAATCTGTTCTCTTCTAGCAGAAAAGTTGGACACTCAAACAAATGACGAGCTATTATATGACCCGGGTGAAGACGACGCCAATACTGAATGGGTTAAAAAGTTACAGGAAAACAGCCAAGGCGGCGAAACCGGAAGTGATGAAACTGATGCCGTTCTTAACTGTCCAGGATGCATGACCCTCCTGTGCCTAAATTGCCAGAGGTTGGTTCAGGCCCTATTGAAGTTTATAACTCTGTGGACCATCCCATATTTTAATTTAGAACGCAAAAGACCGTGCCATCGGTCACGTTTAACAAAAGTGTGATTATGTGCTAGACACTGCTGTTAAATCCATGGCTGCAGGAAAAGTTGCTCACGATTAGCATGGCTCAATACGACTCCCGGTTGCATCAAAATATCAGAAGTCTGGAATTTGTACAAGAGAAACCATACTCTCAAAAAAGGCCGAAGGAGCACTTGGAGGGAGTATTAGTCTCTCTACACCTAGAATTAGAATCCGATAAGCGTTGTTATGCGTTCATCTTTCTTAATTTATCGCATTCTGAGTTGTATGTCTCTTACTTTTAGACATGCAAAGTACAAAACTCAGTACAGAGCTTTGTTCACGTTCAATTGCAAAGTGGAAGATAAGCCCCTCCACCTGCCACCAGGTAGCGACACTTCCAACTTATCCAAAGTAACTATCGAAGACAGCCCATCGATTCACGAGTCGGATAATAGCGATATCTTTCATCGAGTTATTTGCGAGGTCTGCAACACCCCTGTTGGCCTCTGTGACTCCGCTGGTGTTTATCACCTCTTTGGTGTACTCGCAAGCCACAGCTAGTAAAAAACGACAGGGTTCTTCTGTAAATACAATCCACACACTGCTCGAGTGCTTTTAATTATCATTCATGGGGCTAGACCACGTTTTGCGAGCGATCTCAGCAACAGAAGGTGCGTCGTGCACATCGGACGACGTTATTTAAATTTTATTTATCACGTGCTTCATGACATTCTCCGAATTCGCGGCAGTAACTAAGCGGAAAAAGTCAACACTACCGGAACATGAAAAGTAATTACATTTATATCACTGTGCCTAACTCCCTCCACCACGTTTCTGTGGGGAAGGGGAGTAGAGTAAAGGACGAGGTTCTCTTTGCGGGGGCAAATAAAAGAAATAAACTATACACACACAGAGAGAGACGCAGTTAGGATGTGCGGTATAACACGGCACTGGCGCTGGACACATCTACGAAAGCTCAAAGCCAGCATTGGAGTGTATGGCGTAGCGTAGCTTATCGCGAAGAATGGATCGTGAGGCGTAGTTGGGCAGTTTGAGGAGATTGAAACACGTCGACGCTGAAGGCAGACGCGCTTGCTCTTCTCCACCTCGGCGGCTGCCGAAGCCGAAGAAACCCTTCAACACCGAGCCCAGAGTGTCGCCGACATCCTTGTTTCAAAAGAAGCGAAAACAGATTGTAAACTTAAGGCCACCTAACTCTACTGTTTACACGTCATCGGTTGTTTTAAGGTATCCATGTGTGGTGCTGTTGCACCTACTTCTGAATTCAAATAACCGGCCTAAGACATTAGACTTCGTCCGTAGTAATGGCTTTTTCGTAAAACGTGATTGGTGCTATCATTGTGAAACGTACCCGGCAAGTCAAATTTTCGAGGATGGTTATCGTGGCACTAGCTACTACGTTTACCAGTTTGAATTGCTGGACAGAGGAGCCTAATCGATATCCGTGGCATTGCAGAGTATGGTGTCTTAGACGTTCGCGCGGAGGGGCCGCAAGTAAGGTAACAAAATGCATGAAAACGGGATGCTTGAAGACGAACCTGGTCCTCGTTTGTGTACTGCACACAGCGGATGCAGAAGGGCGGTTCCAGGTAGGCGAATCCCAGAAGCGGGGGCTTCGAACAACTCGTCACGAACTGTGCGTGGAAGAGGAAGCAACACAACCGATCAGGGGGGGGGGAGTATTGATGAAAAACGCAGGAATGGCGCAATCGCCTACCTTCAGGAAGAGGCTCCGCTCCTCGTCGGAGAAGTCCTTCTTTAGGATGTCCCACAGCCAACTGATTACACGATGGTTGTTGTAGAAACCGCCCGAGTACTTCGTGTGTTGCCTGCGGGTCAGGATGACATTTATCGTAAGGAAATTCAAAGCGATTGGTTGAGTCTGCGGCCGCTAAAGTTCTACACATTTGGTGGTCACGATGCACATCATCTCAAACTGACCGCGCTCTCGTCTTATTGGCTCACTTCAATTTAAGTGGTTTGTAAATGTGACAACTAGCTTCATTGGTCCATGTTGGGGTCAGACCAACTGATGTTCCTTTAATGTCAAACTGTCGTTCAGTGAGTCTAAACCGCTGGAAAAGGTTTATGAAGATAAAATTTTGGTAGTAGAATGCCTTATAATAGTTACCACACGTAATTATCATATGGTTTGTGCCAAAAAGACAGCGAGGATCCTATTGGTTGGGACACTAACCTGAGATCGTCGAGGTCTATTAGAACGGAGTCACCGGAGATCAGCTGTTGCAACTCCGAAGGCGAGAACATGCTCAACCAGTCGGGGTTGATGATGAGGTAGAAGCCACGAATGAAGCTGGCCGTCTGGGCGCGAATCTGCTTGTACATCCTGAACATGGCCATTCGGTGCACGTAGCTTATTCTACACAACAACCGACAGACATTAACATCAGCAGGTGGGAAAATAGGCATCCACCCACACAGAGACAGACACAACGTACTTCAGGTCATTGGTGACGGTGAGGTAGCGGCCACCTGGGACCAGGTCGTGCACCACGATCTGGCCGAGGCAGTCCTCGTCGAAGGAGAAGGTCAGCTCGAGGTCGGAGATGTCGCCGTCGTAGTGCTGCGACCCGAAATGGAGGCAAAAGCCAGAGTGATGAGTCACCCACCGCGGCACGTGAGAAGCATGAAATGACAGGGCTCACCTTGATGTACGTGAGGCTCTTGTAGAGGTCCCGATCGAGGGTTGAGAGTTCGTCCAAGAAGCTGTAGCAACTGGCGCGTTGTCTGCCGAGGACTTGGGTGAGGAAGAAGTTGGCGAAAGGCACGTCCACGATGATACCCTTTAAGGTAGAAAAAAACATGAGATTTCACCAATACTAATTAAATGCGACTAAAGCAGCATCAAAGCAAGGAGCTGATGTTTCGTCGGCTTAAGTAGAAGAGGTCACATGAATTACGCAATAGCCACTTCAGACAATAGTGGCCTGAAACCGAAATAAAATCAGCCGAGTTCTCATCCACAATTCCTGAAATAGTATCAAGTGGGTACCTCATAGACAGCCTTGGCCAAGAGTTTGCCGACAAACTCGAAGAGCTGCAAATGGCTCTCTTGAATGTGCGACGTGGGCGAGGGGTAGAGACGCTGGTCAGTGGTGGCGCGGAAGAGATTCAGCGTTGGATCGAAGACCCGGCGCAGTGTCTCCTCCAGAAACTCCTTGAACACGCCATCCAAGTCGATACCGACTTCGTCAAGACCCTGAATAGTGCAAACAGGGCGATAAGAAGAGAAGGCTAGTCACGTTCGTTTTAATACTACTCAACTCAATTTCAGCCACCACTTCAATCCAATTTTAGCTACAATTCCAACGAAAACGAGTTCGCGGGCTATATGTCCAAATGAGACTAACATGAGGTTTCAGTTGGACACTTTGACGAGCTCTCAAGTGGTCCGAAATGTCGACAACAAATTCCTAAATATAATTTGCGCACTCCAAGACTTCTCGTTACGAAAAGTACAAAAAGTGATACCTGAGACTACTGAGTTATGAATTGGCGTGGTTGTAAAGCGATCGATATCGTCAAAATCTGGAGGGGGTGGGGAGAATCCCGCATGCAAACGTACCAGAGCATTGATAAACTGGACCCGGATCTTCATGCGGAGTTGAGTGGGGCTTAGGTTGGCCAGCTGTTGGTACCCGTCCTAAAATGTACACAGTGACGCGGGTTGATGGAGCACGAGAGGGAGGGGGAGGGGGCAGACAGAGCTGGCAATGCACACAGCGCTCACCTCAACGATGCGGTTGCGATGGATCATGACGACGGCGCCGACCGCAGAGCTGTCGAGCATGCAGTTGGTCTGGGTGAGCACGCCCAGGGCCGCCTTGTCCGCTCTGACCAACTCCCGGAAAAGCATCACTCGCTGCAATGGAAAAGGTCACAACAGCAACCTCAGGGGAAGAGGGCGTAGCCCCTTCAAAACCCGAACCCTGGATGTGATGGAACCCGCCCAACTCACCTCCTTCCTTGGAATGATATGCGGCACGTGCTTGAGCAGGAATGTGGCGTGTACCTTCTCCTTGCGCAAATCCGACATGAAGGCGGAGGGTCTGACGCCACTGCAACGAGAAGGTCGGGTTGGGGAAAGAAGGCACAGAAATTAGCCCGTGGTTTTTCAATCAGCGAAGACCGACTTACCGGATGAGCCAAAAATTGTTCGGTGTGAATTTGTGACGCCCGTCACGATTGTAGAGGATGCCGAGCAGGCGGAGGCAGATGTTGAAGACGGTGGGGTTGGAGGACGCGGACGTCTGAAGGCACTCGTCTTGTGCGGTCGGTGGCGCTTTTGGTGGTGCGGCCGAGTTGGTTGTTGAAAGAGGCTGAGTTAGAGGTGTGGCTGCAGTGAGTAGAGAAAAAAGTCGTCAGTTTAGTTGACAAAATACACACACGTGCGACCAATCGGATTTGTGCAGTAAAAAGGGCCCAGTGCTTGTGCGAGATACAGCGGTAGGAATCCTGTCTCAGACGTGGTTTAAATTTAAATATCTGATGTGCAACAAGCAACCGCATGGGCGGTTGGGTTAGTTTCTTCAACACAGTAGACCTTACTTCTGATTGGCTAATAAAAGTGACCTATCAGAATGTGCGAAAAACTTGCTGCACAAAAAACCTGTGTTGCCTACCTTCCTTTAGACAGATTGAATGAGGAAATACCGACGCTTAAATAATATGACATAAATCTAACGTATGCAAAATTATAAGTCAATGGAAACGACGGAATAGATTACACTATTCTATGCTACTTGGTAACCCCCGCCAAATGCGAGCGCGGAAGCGATGCAATTAGCTCATGGCACTGCCAAAGAACACACCTTTCAAGTCGACGCAACCACCACTTCGGATTCCAAGAATGACGGCAGTAAATGACCAAGCATTGGCTCAGATGCCACCGAAATTGCGGATAACCGAGGCGCAGCTTCACTCCGCCTCAACAAACTTGATATACTTTACGAAAACGGCATACTTAAGATTCACTGAAGGTCGTGGGAGTGTCAACATAAACACCACATCTTCACGAATGAATTAATTACTGGGCAATCAGTGAGATTGCTTGGACGGCAGCATTGGAAATGCCAGTCCAGCACCGAACACCTGCGTACTAAGACACAGCACACTGAATTCCTCGACATTTAGATCCAGGACTGACATAGAGATGTCTGGTTATTCACCGTAGACTGATTAAAATGAAATGGTTTTCAGAGACACCAAAACAGCACATTGTGAAGCCCTCAGAAGTAGAGCGAACTGACGTATTCGAGAGTCACTGAAAAACGGTGACTAAATTAGCCTTTCAAACACTCCCACCACAGACGAGCAAGCGGAAGCAGCGATTTCAACTCATCGTGAGTTTACCCGACTTCTGGGACTCTTTTGTGAGGTTAGAGAGGGAAGACTAAAAGGGAAAATGTGCGTGCAGAAGGGGGGCATATCGACTTACGGTCTGGCACCAGAAGGACCGTTTCGTAGATGAGGTAGTTGAAGAAGTCTGCGATCGCCATTAACTCCTCCAGTTCAAATGCCTTCTGCTTCTCGAAGACCTCCACGTCGTCCAGAATGCTGAAACGTAAAACACACACGGTGCGATTTTGGACAACGCGGGGCAGGCGGGATGAGAGGAGGAGGAGGGCGGGGACTTACATGAGGAGGTTGGAGGCGGCGGCGGCGAAGAGGTGTAGGAGGTGGGCGGAGTGCGGCACGAGTTGCCAGCCGGCCTTCGGCGCGGTGAGGAGGGGCGCCCAATCGCGCACGCCGCCCGCCCGGCTGATGAGACGCCACATTCGCGGCAACAGGTCACCCAGCGTGAGGCCTGTGAAGATTAAAATAATAAAAATTGCAGAATTGGAAGACCGAAACAAGCAAACAAGTAATTTCAGTTTGCACAAATAGTCCGGGGTTTGTTCCTGATAAAGGATTTCATCTGTGACATGTGATAGACGCCACGTTTAGCTTGATGGAGCAGAACTCTGTTGGGTGCTGCTAGTTTGTGGTCAAATCGAACAGTTTCGTAGACAAGATAGTCGCTGCGACTCGCGGAGAGACACGTCGATTGTTTAACAGAAGGCACGTGCCGTGAGCGGTTGTAAGGTTATTCCACCATAGGTCGAACAAGGTCTTTTTGGTGCAATCGACGGAGACCAAGTCAAAGCCACAACTGAATCTGATCGAGATCACGCGATTATGCTATTAACAGCGGGAGGTTGCAAGGCGCGCGCACACACACACACACGCACAAAAGCTGGAAATCGTCTTGATAAGAAACTCGATGTTTGGATCCGGAAAAACAAGATAGAAATTGCCACAACCACAAGATTTGTGTAATCCATCATCACAACCAATGGAATCGTCGGATTGGTTTGTTTTAAACGGTTCATCACTGCCGATTAAAGATGCACAGCATCACTAACATCATCCAAAGTACTAACATGAGATTAAGAAAGGGAGGTTGTAGATACATGTCTGCGAAGTTCTAGGCGGGATGCACGCGTCAGTATTGACGCAAACCACCCATTTCTCGATAATCCGCACCTAAGAGTAACCAACCCTGCTTGTGATCGACCTTACTCAGTCGATGATAATCAAATTAGCGCGAATTGTACGTGTTAAGAGGTGCGTCGTTTGAGTCCTGTATTAACTGACGGAAATCCCCTAAGCGCAACGAATTATCCGAGCACAACCAGTTACTCATGGCTTAGAAGGCGGCCATTGGACGTAATTTAGAACGATTTTTGTCATTAGCCTAGGCTTTGACGAACGACACATTGAAGTACAGGCGAATTCCGCGACTGGCACCAAGCAAAACATTTACCATTTTAAACAACCTGTTAACGCGCCAAAACGTGCATTATCGATTAGTGCGGAAATTTAAATCGTGAGTAGATCCATGAAAGTTCACATAACGAAAAAAAAAATATGCAGTACAACGTTTGCGTCGTACTCTGTGCTTGTTTGTGCATTTGGCAACAATGCACGTGGACGGCGGTGGAAGGACAACGGGTAACTGAGACAATCCCCCTCTTGCCCTACTTCAACAATGGGTTGCCCAGGGTACTGGTTGAAAAGCGCACAGACAAGATGGCGGCGGCGCTGGGAAACGGCCAAGTCACGTGGAGCGACGGCGAAGACATTCAACTGCGCGTCGACTACTACTGCGCGCACGAGAGGGAGTGCCACGGCGAGTTCAGCCTCAACGGTTCCCAGCAGATGATGGGCATAGACAGCTTCGATGCGTCGAGTAGACACGCGGACACGCATTCGGCCACGGCGCGTCTGGTGGCGCTGCACGAGCAGGGCTTCGCACTGGTCGGTTTCCGGCTCACCCTCTGGAAGAACACAGTTCAGGAGGGCTACGTGCACGGTCAGTACATGGTGCACCTGAAGCCACCAGAAGCACGGGTCCTCACGAAGGGCTGCACCTTCAAAGTCACCATGTACTCCAGAATTAACCTGATGGTTTTTGAGTTCGATCCGACCGCCTTCATGCCGAGTGGACTGCTGTGGCACACACTGGTGCTGTTCAGGCGAGTTCGGATTAAGAAGTGGCCTGACACCATGTCGGTGTACGTGCCGATTCTGGTGATGCGCAGATCGCCCTTCAGCCTGGTTCCACTCAACTTCTACTACTTCAGAGACGTGGTATTTGAGTTAGGCGACAACGGCAGGCTTTTCGTGAAGGGAACAACGGTAAGTCACACTATGTACTGCTAAAAATTGCGTTTCCGACGTAGGAAAAACCCAGCAACCACGTACGAGGCCTTGACGGAACTCGACTCTTTTGCGATTTGTCGTTGACATTCTCTGATTACTTCCTAACCCAACTTCACTTGGTTAAGTTGAAGCAGCGTCAAATACACCACGCATTTTCTGTAATCCTGCAACTCAACAGCAGGTTTGTGTAGGTTCGCCAAGCTTGTACTAACATAGTCGCAAGTACTGACTGGTTGTGTTAGGTGAATTTCTTTGGATTCCTGCCGAAAAAAGTACCAAGCCTCCTGACGCGAAGCACAACAGACAATGAAATTACAGCACAATTGATGGGCTGTAGGCACAGGGCATGAACCAGCAGAACAACGGAGTGTACACGGTGCGCTGGTTCTACCATAACCGCCAGCACATCGTGGACGAGAGCTGTGAGAACACGGGTAGCGTGCAGTACTGGGCCAACCTCCCACCTCTTGAGCCGATTTTCGCGCACAGCACAATGGATAAACCAGAGCAGTGGTCATTCAACATCCCGGCCTTGCAGAAAGCGGTTTACGAAGAAGAATCCAAACAACTGGTAGCGTGTGTTTGGACAGATGTCTTCCAGAAGATCCCAAAGAAAAGGGAATTCACTCTCGCCACTCACAGGTAGGCCTCCACATGGGCTACAAGGTGAAAAAGACTCGCGCAAAATTCCATGACCAAAACAATTTGGGGGTGCTCTTTGTCCTCACAGGTACGCATTCTACTCAGAAGGTGAAGATCTTGGCTTCCTGATGTACGCCTATGTACTGGAGGAACAAAGTCCATCATTGGAAAAGTACGTCTGCTCGACCGAGTCCATGGAGGTCTTAGGTATCGGTCCGTATAGACCCTGCCCACAGAACGAAGACGCCTTCAAGGTTTATCCCCACGTCTCGATTGACCGCCACCACATGCGATTCACAATCCGCGGGGAATTTACTAGTAAAAACTACACGATGAAAAAAGGATTCCACGCCGCTGTCATCCACGGTCCAAGAGGTCGGTAGGTTGATTTGCAATCTCAATTTCATCAGAGATTTGTGACTACTCTACTTTCACATACGCCGATCTTTGGAATTGTAGGTTGGCCGAACACGTCTTTAAACGCTTCAGGAGGTTGCCCGCATACGAAAGGACCTTCGAAAGCATGAACGTTACTTTGCCAATGAGAGTACCGTGGAGACAGGGCATGCTAATGCGGGTAGAGATTCACCAATGGGAGACAAAGAACGTGTTTCGCGCGATGATAATGGACGCAGACAACAAAGTCCACGTTAATCCGATGGTGGCCACCCACACACAACCCGTTGAGATTAAGTGTTTGGAGAATCGGCTGGGTGTGATGGCGACCAGGGCGCGAATTGAGTACGTGCAGGTACACGCAGACCTCGGGGGACGCAACTACGTGCTGATTGGTTCCTACACACCACAAAAAGGAGCGCGGATAGAGCCCAAGGTGAGGGGGTGGGACTGTGACAGCCACCTGGACTTTCGACTTTGATAACTGTCTGATGCGGTCTTGCTGTTTCAGAACATCGATAGCTCTGCGAGGCTGATTGTGAATGTCAGAAAACAGAGACCATCACAGCTGAGATTTCGTGCAATGGCTTTCCACATGCACCGTTTCCATGGTTTTCGATGTCGCGTGAAAACGGAAGGCGACTGGTTTCCCCTACACGAGGTGGTTAACAAGCAGCCAGTTTGTTTCGTGCGGCGGCCCCCACCCGTCATCTTAACCGTGGACAACAGCACCGTGCCACCGGAAGAAGACGGCGCAGTCCTCCAACACCAGAGCCTCAAGGTCTACCAGACGTCCTGCATTCGACCCGGTGGTGAACTACTCTTCACCTGCAGCGAGTGGCGCGAGATAGGCGTCTGCGACCACCTGCCCAGAGTTGAGAACATCTACAAAGTCGACACAGACCTCATCATCCACAACGCCCAACGAAAGGAGTACACCATTCGGAAACCGGTTTTCGATCGATTCGGCAGGGGACAAGTCAAGATTGCCACCGTTCCGTACGACTGGCATTTAGCTGAGGTAACCTGCCGCCGAAAGGTCTACCTTCCCGGGAAGACGTCACAACGCCTAATCGTCGACCAGTACTCTTCTGTCGCACGGCTTTGCGTAAGCCGATTGAAATTCAGCTTCTACGTCACACACGTGGGCATTGACAAGAAAATAGGGCTGACCATGAACTTTGAGGAGTTGAAGAAGCGCAACGCGGTGAACGAGTTGAACACTCGAGTGGTTAACACCTTGACGGAGGGCTCGGCCGTAATCTGCACGGTGTCCGACAACACCAAGGTCACCGAGACGAAAATTAAGCAGCACAACACCGAGACAGAGAGTGGCAGGCCGCCAATCAAGGTGTTCAGCTTTGACAACGTCTCAATCGCCATCTTGCTTAATACTGACATTGGCAGCGGCAAGAACACGATTAGCATATACTGCCAGACAAAACGGTCAAACTCGCAAATAACAGCCAAATCCGACGTGAGTGCGTAGATAACAGGGGGGGGGGATTTGTTTCAGGGGATGATTGATGCCATTCGTTCAGGAAACTCAATGATCGAGTCTTATTAGCAGGACGGAAATTGACGATGTTTTGCATCGAGCTTCCATTTCCTTCATCCAAATTAAGTAGTGACGAAAACCAAGATGACTTGAATTGGTTCTAGGAAATTTGTCATAAATAGGCTACTTCAAAAAGTAGTACATCGGATTGGTGCAAGAGTCATGTCCGCTTACACCGAAGAGATTTTCATTATGTAGAGCTGTGTGAGGATAAGCATTATCCTGATGAAAGACGACGCTCTTTCCGCCATTAATTCAAAAGTGCTTTCAGACGCCAGGGACGACCACAGAAATATTTCCGAATTCACAGTAGCTTCGGCATCCCACCGTGAGCTCGACATGACCTTTCTCGTCTGAAGTCCCCTCGCGGTCGCTGGATTGGTCTTCCTCGTCGACTGATCCAAGATCACTGGCATTTAATAGTGCAGTGGAAGATTCATTTCTTAAAACCAGCAATCGCCCACAACAAGCAACGCGCTGTTGCAGGTTCTCACTAGAGTTTTCTAATCACTAAAACACTTCCGACCCCTTTCGTTCGGCATGGCGTAAGCTAGGATGGATTTCGGTGCTTTTCCTGAATGAAACCTCCACGAAACACATAAAGCAGAGCATTTCTAAAGTGACCTTAAGATGAAGGAAACAGTGTCGCGAGCAAGATAGGGATAACCCAAAAGCCGTTGGCATAAATTAGTTAGTGTGACATACGTAATAAAAGGCATTACCTTTGCCCCAACCACTATAAAAAACCCGTGAGAATGTAAATAAAAGTGTGAGGTGAAGATTACACTGGCCTAAAGAGGTACTTAGCGAAAGAACCCGGAACCCGGAGAGACGCATTTCAGTGGATTCGGAAAATCTACTGTGTGGGTGACAGAGAAGGGGCCCCTTCCACCTAGTTGGTAGAGACTCACGCACTGAAATCTCATTTCAGACACTGCGTTTGACAGTCCGCGAGGCAGCAATGAAGGAGGCGGGGTCGTCGGAGTTGAGACAGCTCTTCGGCGAGATCATCACGACGACAGTGGTGGCGACACTCATCGCGGGCATCTGCCCGCTTATTGTTATGGTGAAAGAGGTCAGACGCGCTCGAAGACACGAAAAACGTCGCGCCGAGGCGGCCAGAAAGTTGAGACGTCTCAATTACCTTAAAGAGGTGAGAGCGAGATCCCCTTTGCACTGATCAGGGTGGGTTTGTGTAAACATGTGGCAAGGCGGGTCAACTCTAGTGTCGTTTTAACATGTTACTTTCGGAAGGGTTATCTGAAGTCTGAGTCGCTTCCCTAGTTATCCAGACATTGGTATTTGAGAAAGAGAAAGGCTACTGAGTGTGCTTATGTGCACAAACGAGGCATGTATTCGACATTTTAAACGAATCTAGCCTCATTAAGAGCTTGACCCTTGGAAATGTTGGATCAATGCCGACAACACTGTTGTTTCAGCCAATAAAAGAGCCTATTTGGCCAATGAGAAATAGTGAAGTGTGGGATGGCAGGGGTGTAGCACCGTGTCCAATCGATTTTTTCCCACTAGATGGGCCTAGGAGGGCACGACACCAGCGAACGGGTCGGCAACAGGGGGAGCATCCGAATGCGTTTGCCAGAAAGCAGACACAGGAGAGGCCTAGAAACAGATGTCGACGACGACGACGACGACGATGACGCTTACGGCGATGCCCAAACGCTGGAGGAGAGCATGAAGGATAACAGCGAAGTTGGCAGCAAGTACGAGTGACTTGAACCCGACACAGACGGAATAGAGTGCCTCATGTTTGTTTACATTCCCACCAAGTTAACATACATTGAAAAAAAAAACGAAACGATCGTCAAAACATTTTCGTTCTGTGCTTGAAGTGCAAAATGGCATCATGCAACCGCACACACCGCCTACACAATGGCAAATCTATGAGAATCCAGATAGTATTCACGATTAAGAGCAAATTTAAAACAAAACAAAAGCTCCGAACCCGTTCCATCGCGCAGTACCGACAGACTTCACCACAAATTCTGCTAAAAAGGCGCCTTTGGGCAGAGGCACCTCGATGGATTTTGGGAAAGGGTGTGGGCTTTCGGCTATTTTCGACATTTCACTGATGTGAAGGGTTAGGTGGTTCTGCTACACGGAGGCTTCAACACCAAATGCATGCATGGAAGCCGTGTTATTAGCTCACTGCTCTGCCAAAGAGCACACCTTTCGAGTAGACGCAACCACCACTTCGGATTCCAAACACGACGGCAGCAAATGACCAAGCATCGTCTCAGCTTCCACTGAAATTGCGGACAACCGAGGCACAGCTCGACTCCACCCCAGCAAACCAACCGCCTCCACAACAAACTTGATAAACTTTACAAAAATTGCATACTTACGACCCGTTGAAGGTCTGACGAGTGTACAACATAGAAACCACACCTTCAAGAACGGACCAATCACAAGGTAGCCAGTGCAACCGCCTGTAAATTCACCCCAGATTACACGACATTCGGTTCTGATTACCTTGAATTCGGTCACACGTACAGGCCGAACAGCATTTGGACTGATAAGAGATTTACGCGTTTTACGTACACCTTTGACGCCTACGTAATTTGCCTTCTCTGTACTTAATCGACGAAATAGTTCGTAATTTTCCGCCAAGGAAATAGGTCTGATAGCAAGTTTCAATGAGAAAGCGGACGCTGTGCACAGAGGGATGTTAGGCGTGAAGCCAGGAGACGCTGGTCATGGGCGAAAAAACCGCGAGTCCACGTACCTGCCAAGATGTCATTTCGAATCTCTCTAAGTGATCCGATGGTGAAGCAGTAGAGCATGCACACGGCTTTGATGCTGACAGGTAGGGCCTCGGGACCCGGAACGCCGTGCGCACGCGCCTGGTGATGAGCGTAGTTGGGCAGCGCACCGCTACCGCCCCCACCACCACCGCCGCCCCTCAGCGCGGGGACGTGGCCGGCTAGTTGACGCAGAAAGTGGCCCAGACCGAGGCGATCCGAGAGGCCCTTGCGGTGGTGGCGGGACACGAAACTCGGCGGATTGGCTGGCAGGAGGCCCTCAATGGCCTTGCGTTCGCCGGCTGTTTGCTCGTTGGGTCGGATGCGCTGCGGACGTGACGGAGCGGCCGCGGCGGTGGACGTGGAGGCACGCGGTGTTGCGCACGCCTGTTCCGACTCGTCCAGGCCCTCTTGTTGGTAAAGGTCGGCGAACAGAAGGCGGACCATTCGACCGTGCCAAAGCAAGTGCAGTTGGCTTGTCACATGAGGTGCGGCTGCTTGAAGGCTGCAATATACGGTGCAGGAGGGGTAATAGGTCCGCGCAACACGCCGATTTAATTGCAAAGCCCCGATTATGGTGGAACACCAGCGGGAGTTACCAATTATCAAGGACCGGCAATCTCGTCACTAGCAAATACGAATGGGAAACTGGTAGTTACGGTGTAACTTTAACATGCACTACTGTGGCACTTCAATACAGCGACTCGTGGCAGTTAGGGTAGTGGTTTTGGTGGCAATGGAGGTGTAGCGGTGGTGGCTATGTTAGCCCAACACCGTTCTAAGGAAGAACAAAACCACAGAAACATACGCACTTACTAATTGTCGAGGGGTTGAGAAAACCAGCCCAGAATTGGATGCCAGCAGGTGAGGTTGGATTTCTTCTGTCCGACATAGCCACCAAGTCTGTGCAGCAGCTTCGACAGCACGACCTACGTGTGTATTAACAAAAACTAATTAGCTCTAAGCCCATTGGTGAGGGTGTTGTGAAGGTAAATGGAATTACACGTGGTGAAGTGGAAAAAAAACAAACGTACGCAAAATTCTTCACAGTGGTCGACAAGCACATCGACTTCCAAGAGACTGAGTTGAATTAGATTAGCTAAAACAAATTAAACAGGCGGAATCAATTACACAAAAAGGATAATCTTAGATCAGTGAAGCAAGTTGTCTGAAGTAGTACAAATCTGTCGAATTGGGATGCAAGGGAAGTTAGCATCTACGTACCTATGAGACACAGAGCATAGGAGCCCTCGAGGTCATTGAATATAATCTCCAGGTTTTGGGGACTCTCGGAGAGAAAGAGAATGATGCGAGAGCACAATTTCTCCCGAACAATTACATCATAGGCCTAACGGAATGGAAGTGAGATACAATAAATTCTCTCCCTTCAACAATCCGCTAGTGTCTATTCAGTTCCTCTGTCATGTTCAGCAACAATTGAAATGATGCACCCGTCTATACAAACTTCTTCGTGTACGTCTGCACTGATTAATAGCGGTGCTTGAGAACAATAACCGACGTGGCCAAAAATCAAGAGCTAAGGAGCACTAAGACCACACTGGCTAGTCAGACACAGGTGTCCGACTCTGTCTCGATGCAAAACGACAAAATGGAAAGTAAAAAATGAACACAAGTGCTGACAATTTAAGCATTTACTTCCTAAGACACCTGACCTGGAATCTGGGGTACCTCCGTGATAAGTATTAAAGATAGAAATGAGTTAAGGACGTAAACGTACCTCGTGGGCGAGGGAATTTATGTGCAACACAAAGCCGGGGACTGAAAGAATGTGGAGGACGAAAAGACAGATATAGTGCGAGGAGAAGTCGAACACAAGCAGTGGCCTAAAATGGGGAGGTTTGAAAATTGAATACCCCAAGCTTTCTGCACGCCATCAGAAGGGTTAACAGCAATGTTGATTCAAAGAAAACGTTTGGAACATCAGAATCACTGGGTACAGGAATGTTGGCGGTCGAGGTCAAAGTGCAATCTACCTTGGCGCATTTGATAAAAACTGACAGAAATACTGGCAATACAGACGTACCGCATGGATAAAGTGAAGATACCGGTCAACGATAGTTGAGTGAGAACGGGTAGGTGAAGGGCCAGACCTTTAAGAAGCAGTTGCTACACGGGTTAAGAATTTACCTCACTCACCTTGAGAGCCGGATAAAACCCACAATCGACTATATGGCTTATAAATGAATTGGTAATGGCAGTCAATGCTGGCTTTAACGTATCATCTAAAATGAAGAAATGGAATTCGCCAGATGTTTTCCAGTCAGGGGAGAGTGCGAGTTAGAAGGATTACCTTTCGAAATTTTCCATTGGTTGCAATTTGTTAGAGTTAGCACAAAAGACAAAAGCACTGTGATCATTGTTGAGTCGGATCCGTTGGCAGGCTAGATTTTAAAATTGGTTAAATAAAGACTTACATTAAGCACCATGAAATACTTTATGCAAATCGACAGCATCCAGCGCGTCTGTGAAATCCATGTCACAAGACTTTCACGACTTAGAACGAGAGACAAGTAGGAGGACTACACAAAAACAAGAAATTAAGGCCAGGAAAGCCACGTACGGTGTCATCTTTGTTTATTGATAATAACAAATAACGGCAAATTCCCTCAAATAGCTAAAGCTAATAAGATAAAAATGCAACTAACCTCCCTATCAGTGTCCATTTTAAAGTTGAATTTCAGGTGGGTAATCACGTTTGGCAGAGATGAAGCTTAAGGAATAAAGGTCAACCATAGACAAACCTGGATAAGGATCTCTTTTCTGATTACCATCTTCCCGTGTGGATAAAATAAACGAATTGCAAAATGAACGCCTCTTCTCATCAACATATTTTCTGGCTTTATAGCCGCGCCAATACTTCTACTGGGCTCGTACAATATACTACAATACCTGTACACATATTGCAGCGTGTAATCTATCACGTTCCGACTTGCGATGTTCACGATCACGCTTTTGTTTCTCTACGAAGCTTTTTACATTGGGATTGACGTTCGTGAACATTGCTAAGGACTTAAACTCATTATTGCAGGAAAGATAGGGCAAGCTGCCTCAAAAATACAGCCCAAAATTTTGAAAAAGCCGCGCCTACCGGTAGCTTATTTGAAAACACTGTGGAAGAAAAAGTTAACTCTTAATTCTTTGGTGTTTAAGACCCCAGCAGTAACTTGTTTAATCGGGAGGTAACTACAAACTACAGCCTAATGAGAACTAAAATGGTCGCTCTATTGAAGTTACTAGTAGGCTTGACAAATGTAACACGCCCATAAAAATATTTATAAGAATTCTAGTTATTACATGAAGTATCTGCTTTGATTGGACCCCAAAATCCACAACGCCATTTGATAGTACTGATGGTAAACATTATTCACAATTTACTTTGTTTCCATTTAGAAACAGAAGAATCCATTGAAGCCTCTCTGATATTTTTAAGAACGAAATTTGATAGAGATACGTATATTCGACGAAACCTTTAAACTTTATAACTCCACTAAATATGAATGCTGTCTTAAATGCTAAAGTGAATTTTACGAAGGTATCTGATACTTTTAGCTTTCAAAAATGCCCCTTTGTCCTGTTTTTAATTTTAAACAATTTAAAACACATTTAAGTTTTATTATAGTGATTTTAATGATGATTTATTACTTGCAGAAATGAGCAAAATAATATTTTTAAACACTAGCCTTCTCACATCTAACATTACGAATGTTTGCATTTCATTGCTAACATGAATGTACCCTTAACACGTCAATTGTTTAGCTATGTGTTCAGTAAATCTTCAAATTCACTTTTAGGAATACTGTATCGGTTTATTCTAATCACTTAAACCGAAAAATTAAATCCCTTTCTTTCTACCTACACATGATGATGATTACCAGTGGATACATTTTTCGCTTAATGGATATTGATTCTTAAATGTTTAATAAAATTTTATGCATAACCTATTTATTACCTACTTCCTGTTAGTTATGTGGCCATAATTAAGCAATTATAAGCAGTCAACCAATAGTCACCTCCACTAAATCAAAGGAGTAATGAGCAAGCTCAGAATTATACAAGACTACCTTAGAAAGATCGGTGCGTTTTAATGAGGAGAAATTGAATGGCGAAAGGGTTTTCACTGCATAAATTCCAACGCAACTTTTCAGAAGTTGCAGATCTCTAGGCTTCAGTGACTCCAATTGTGGTTTTGACATCAACATCTTCATTCAAAGGCAGATTATGTTAGGAATGTTATGACTTACAAGCGATAAAAAAACTGAAAATTTGTTGCTTTTGTCAAGTGTTCACTCAAAAATAGTATTAATACTACAGTTTCTACTTTACAATTTGGTTCGAAAGCAACGATATTCCATATCCAATAAAAATTACTTCTTGAAAAACCATCGAAGTGTTAAGTAACGAAAAAATTTCGACGTGTGCTGTTTCTTTTATCGCTAAAATTATAATTATTTATGCAAGCTAACCTAATGCATCATCTAATGACTTCTTTTAGTCTTATGCCTTAGATTTACTTTGAGTCATCAGTTTTCAAACTGGTTTAAACATGAAACAATTAGTACAAGCTAGACAAAATACGGATTCTTCAAATAGTTCATTGTTTTCGAAAAGTAGATTTAGACGTTAACATTAAAAAAAACTTTTTGATGGCCTTACTAAGAAAATACTATGTGGAATCCTCCACAAGACCATACTGTCCGACAATCGCAGTCCAGCAGAATTCGCCACACTGGCTGTGTCTCTCATCATCTACGTGTTTCGTTTTCACCTTTGTCTCTGATTGGTTGAGCACAATAAATTGACAAATAGCTCAGTTTCTGACATTTTGCGACGTGAATATAGCTGAATACCTCGCATTTCCACTTAACTTGTTCATTAATTTACATCTTATACACTCTCCTGGTTACTTCTTGAATTTTGCTACAGTAACCAACAAATATTTACGATCTTAACAAAGAGAGGTTGTTGATTTTGTTATGAGGATATGGTACTTACATATGTAATAAACATTAACATTTCTGTATTCTAATGGAGTATATTAACAGTTTCTTGTAATTCTGGTTGCAATGATGTTCTCATTTTAAGTCGAAAATAATTTGCATATTGCCAGAATAAAATCGTAAATAGTTAGTGCATGGCAGATTGATAGAATTAGATTTGAGATCTCCCTGTGTAGTAGATATTCAGGCTAAACTGTGACAACTTTCAAGGAAGTCACAAGATTTGAGTAAATAGGTGAGGCTAGCGCAGAAGTAGCTAGTCAAATGACAAACTGCAAAATCTTAGATTTGCCTTTGAACTGAGCTTAGCTTAAAATGAGAGTCATGTTCATTTAAAGACATGGGCACCCTAGTAATCGTGGGATAAATGCACGGTCCTGCGATGATCTTGTATCTTAAATGCGCAATCGATTTGAATAGGTCCTGTATGACCAGTTACAGATGCAGCATTTAAAGGTTTCGATGTCTTGTTCAGATTTTGGACTCTTAAAAAACGGAATGATTGAGCTTGTTTATAGCAATTTGACATTTTTTTATAATTTCCGCGTTGTTGTTTGCATGATACCTGTAAGCGTTCTGCATTCCTTCCCATAGTGGTATAGTTAACGTAGTAAAGGTGACGTTATGTTGTTTAGAATACTCAAATCCACCGTTGGCCAAAAATATATGCAAAGTCCCTGTAGATTGACACGAAAAAAAGTCGATTTTTTTTTCAGAAATATTGATTTGAGATCGAATGAAGAAACTTGAAGGTAGATTTCAGGTGTGTTAAATGATTAGCCCTTAACATTTGTCATTCACCGTCGAAATGAACCTACGACTGTAGCGAGGCGTGTTGATTTACATCCATTAACTCAAAGCACACTACATTCTCTGACACTGCCTACCTTTATCACCGCGCACCAGTCAGTCACCTAAGAGTCTGCACACAGTCCTGTGCCTGTACCACTTCCACTACCCGTCTCATTCAATCGACCATTCAGACATGTTCACGTCAATTGTGTTCGTCAACAACGTGACCTATGTGTGCAGGGTGAAGCTCTACAACCAGGGCCAGCCATCTCCTTTTTGCTTAATCTGTCGGCTGTCAGTGCAGACTGTTCAAGCCAAGACCTAAAACAGAGCCTCGTCACGGACGAGTCTCAAATATGTTGGAGATGGATTCGCCCAAGGGTTAAATACGCATTGTTCGCATCCTAAAGAACCTTATTTCTGCATCTCGATTCTAACTGAGCGTCGGTCACAATTAGGTTGCCGGACGAGCGCAGATCTCGTTGAATGCTACTTATAATATGAACGGTGATCCGCCATGCTTGCTATAAACATTCACTGCGTACTCTGGTTATTTAAGTAGTATTTATTGTTTAGGACAACAGTCTGTTGAGGGCCCCGGCACGTTGTCTTGAATCAAACCGGGGCCAACAACCCGACCGAAATAAGTGTGAAAAGTGCGGATGGCGCCTGGCTTAACTTATTTATTGATGCAGTAATGGCCTGTGTGTGCGTCGTGTACAAGAAAACAAGTTAGTTTAAACAGCCCTGTGTAGTAGCTTGATCTTAGCACTACCTTACAACCCTCTAATTAACAGCCCAGGACAACTCGAGTAGAGTGGAGAAGAGGCGAGAGCGGACACGACTGGTTTATTGATGTACGCGTGCGTAACAGGCGGATGCTGACAAAAATCAATAAGAAAAGGGGATGAGTCATCGCTACACACGGGCCCTCATGCACGCACACTCGCGCGGGGCGGCTGTCAGTCCACTACATCTGCTAAACGCCAACCCATGAATGAACCAATTGGATCACCGTTCACAATTGCTGTGTGTCATATTCAGCTCAATAATTGGGTTGTTGTAAACGTAAGGTGCTTACAGATGATGCAACACTGTGGCGCGATTACCGTATTTTTACATTGTACACCTCATACTTGGTAGTCAAATAGTTCCTGCAAATTTCAGCGACATCTGCTACTCTGCCACTCACTTCCCAGGAATGAGCCAGGTTGCTGATCTAAATGCTGCGCATTAAATTTTGCAATCAAGTTACACGGAATACGATGCATGTGTCAAGGAATCCCGTTAGCCTGGAACTTTCGGATACCTAGAACTCATCTCAATGGGCTTCTAACAGGCCCAATTTTTCTCCTGTTGCAAGAACTAAATATCCAGCAAAGTTTGCTTCCAAAGATCTGTGAAATAAATTAAAACATGACCAGACAAAACTCATGACAAGAAAAGGAACACACTTTCAATATATGAACGCTGCGTTCACATATTTCCTGCAAACTCTAAAAGCCGTTTCCTATGGATGGCTCATATAAAAGGATACACTTTAACGTGCTTGAAGCTCATCGAAATTCGCCTGTAACGAAATGGACCGTGGTGGAAGGGATCAGTTCATGATCAAATCATGACATAAATTTGATGTTGACAAAACGACCATTAAAGGTAATGAATAACATTCCTTATTTCTGGCAAAATCATAGCGTAGTAGCGACTGTTTGTGCTTTAATTAATAATGCAAAATGAACACTAGAGACATCAATTGACATCCAGGCAAACAAGGTAACAACTCAAGTCCATATCAAGCAATAGAAGCATTTCAAGAACGGAGCAAAATGAGATCAAAATTACGAAGTTCTAGACAGAAGCGTGTGGAGCTCAGTTCTTGCACCGATGCAATCAGTCGGTACAATTTAACTAAGCGCCACCGAAATCTGCCTGACCCGCCAAAAACCACGTCAGCGAACCATATTCGGCACTTTTATACCCTATTGCAGCGTCATTGATTAAACTGCCGACCTTTAACCTTTGACTTCGCATCTCATTGGTCCGCGTGACTTGGCTGATGTCGCGCACGCATGCGCGCACCAAAATCTTGGTTCTGACTCCGCTACACAACTTGGTCGAGGTCATGTAGATGTTCCATTGCCTTCCAATCTTCTCGCAGTTGCTTAACTACTTCACAACGTTTTATTAAAAGCAGATAATCCTGCATTATGAATGCATTTCTGTGTAATTACAGAATTTTTTTACTACATGCACTCTGAAAGGAAAGATTGCGCTGTTTCTGTTGAGATTCAATCCACATCTAAAGAATCAAGGAAGAATATGCACCCAGACTCAAGTCACAATGCTCTGAAGCAAAAACTCAGCCAAAATGGAAACTCCAAAACCTTTCAAAATCCTTGACCAGATAATCTGTTGGTTCGGAGTCGATTGTGGTGCCATAATAAATTCATTTGGCAAGGAGGAGGGAAGTAAACGTTGTCGTGGTGCAGATCATATCATTAGCCAACTACAAAGGAAACAGCTCATTCAACTATCATATGATTCGTCCGGCGACCGTGTGGTCACTAGATTTGGATTAAAAGTAACAAGTCGGGCCACATCAGACAGCGGTAATGCAAATTCAAGTAATTGACTCCCTCTGTCAAAAATCATGGATGCACTTTAAGAGAAAGGAGGGAGAGAATAGTGACTAGTGGCAGGTCGGTATAAGCGGGATTGATCCATTAACGGGGTGAAATTGATACGATATGGGAACTGAGGGGCAAACAGCTTATTCAACTCCGAGGTCTCACATCATATCCTCCAGGTGCCACTGTCAATCACGGTGCGGTGGCACGCAGGCTGATACGAATCAAATGACAGACATCTGTTGAATGGATGTCAAATGTGTCTCTATGGTCTCTTTAAAAGACTTCACCTTTCCGACTGTCGTCAAGCCTACTATTAACTTCCTCTACATAACTTTTAGTATTCCTGTTGTGGCTAATGGCTACATTGTATTTTCACCAAAAACCGTTGAGTGGTGTTAAACAAAACAATTGACATAATATTTGCTCCACGATTTCGGGGTAATAGTATGTATTTTCAGTGAGTCTGATGCCCTAACATACGTCATAGCTTCCGTTGTTAAGTAGTGTTAGGCTCAAAGATTTGCTGTCTTTAGCTGCTGCGCCACAATGGTTTCTTAGAATTGTGTTTTTGTATTTTAATTGATTGATTTTGCTGCGCTTTCATTGCATTACAGCCTATTGTAAATGACGGAATCAGATTAACATAAGCACAGGGTACCAAAAAATCAAATATATGCAAGTCTAATTTTTAGCAGTTTTTGTTCCTTCAGCGTGCCAGCTGCAAAATGACATTGGTTAACGTTTAATTGAGATGCTCTTTGCTACACGATGACGCTGAAACCCATTCGGAACATTTTCCTTGTGGATGGCATCAAATGACCCTTTTGGACAAGAACGCTTTCCGTCCGCAATGTGTTCAAATTATTCCAAGACCGTGGTGAAAAGCTTATCCCGTGCTCGTTATGACTTCTTTTACTCGCCTGTTCTGCCGTTCTGGTTCAAGAAACACTCGTGGACAGGCTCGTTTACAGTTTAATCCCCAAGGGCCCGAAATCAGTGTGAAAACAGTTCATTCTTGTTTTGCATGTTGGTGGTCGAGTTCGCAATTGAAACGGCCTATTTCCCTGGTGACGCAGAGAGCGTGGCTTTTTCACATGGATAGGATTGGTGAAGATTCTTGCATTGGGTCAAGACAATCTGCACTACAAGTTGAATGGACTGAGTCAAATTTACAACAGCCCCTGACAAGGAGTGCCCACCGTCAATTCTCATACAGCTCTGCTTTACCCAGTATTCAACCATCCAAGCAATCCCTTCCCAGATCGGTTCCGTGTTGCGGTTGGCAGGCAGCGTGTCCACATGAAAGAAGACTTCAGATTTTGTCAACATGACAACTTCATCACAAATGCAATCCAGGCGCATTGGTTTTGCACGTGGTTAATTTGCCCATGTTCACTTCCATCTCCTGTGCCAATGTATCACAGTACGATAGGCAGCACGGTGTTTTGGCAAGCGTTGGAGTCCCACCAGTTAGTAACAACTGGTCACCATGGAACCGACATTGTTTTTTTGGACCCTAATACGTTTTATTTTAGATGCAAATCTGTGAACAGCAGATGAGAAGTAAGATAAACTTCAACATTCTTGCTTAGGATTATGTTCATCTTGATTGGTTAAGTTACATGCAAACAAACGTGATCTGTGTCCAAACAAGTCTTCATGTCACGATCATCACGATACGAGGCAAAACAAGGATTTTTAATCCGTCAGTTCTGTTTGATTTGACTTTACGCGACACGACGCATGGCAATAGATGCGAAGTTTGTTACATGACGCCTAATTTGTGACTAATTCAACTAAATAATAGTTAAGGAGCATTACTCAGGCGAGAAATATCACAGATACTTCTTGCTAAACACAATTCCAATAAAAACTCTCGATTTGCTGCTTATTTTTAATTCCTTCCATGAGATGCCGCATGCATTTTGCTGAAAGCTTTGATTTATTCGTGAGCGCTGCAAGTAATGCGAATTCAAGCATTTGTGGAGGAACCACACCAGAGCTGATGACATCCACAGACCTAGGCGGATAACGAATTAAGGACATCGTAGACAACGCGTAGGTAATCCGATTTATTGATATTCTATTAAGGGTGCGAAGCCGCAAAATCCCATTAAAGACCAACGCTGCATCCAAAATAGTTTTATGATGCATAAGTACCACACAGTTAACAGAAGCAACGTGACATGGTTCAGGGATCTAGTCTAGACCAAAAGCGAGTAAGAGAGCTACGTCAACCAATATCGAATGTGCAGACTAATCCACATGGTTAATTGGGGCAAGACATAAAATGCACTTCAACGAAAACAGTGCTTCTACTAAAGGATCCACCAAACGCTCTTATCTTCACCAGTTGCTACTTCAACATGCCTGCATACTTTAATTGGGAGCTGCCATCTCTCAATTCTTTGGATTAACCTTGGCCAACTGTCATTAAGTTCTAAGCTCAAATATAGGGACTAAATCATAGATATCCTCTAGGTGAACATCCTAGAAAGAACAACGTTATCTCTCTAAATGCAGTCTTGCATTGAGCTGCGTTAAAGTTCAATGAAACGGCAGGAAAGGACACTCGAAAATCAACAGTACTCTTGTAATCCACGTCCAATCAGATACCGTATGTACTCATATAAACACGCGTCCAACTGTCTCAGAATGTGATTGAATCGGATACTAACTGTCTAAACCAGGTAGAGCGTACAGTTCGATGGAAGTGGGTGTCACGCTGTGAGGGCTGTAATTAGCGGCACAGAAGAAGTCGGTGTTGAACTTCAGGGAATTTCTCGAATCACTTCCAGTGGGAACAGCAAGGAAGATTAGGAGAGCTCTGGGGCTGTGTTGATCCTGCTGAAGCATTCGCCAAACACGGTTGATTGTGCTGCTGCTGCCGCGAAGCTAAAAGGAGAATTAGATGCTGGAAAGCATTTTATCATGATCAAGGAGTTAAGGGATACAAAACATATTTCTCAAATGCATGGCAAGAAAAAATCCATCTTCGCAGTTGGTAGGCCTCTCGTGTCGTCCAGCTTCATTTCTACAATTGAAGCTGTTATGCACAAAAGGAAATAAGAAAAGCAGTCTAGGTGGTGTTCTAGACAGAATCATGTGGAGCTTCGAATGTGCACTGACGCAATCTCTCAATGCAGATCAACAAAGCGCCACGCCACTCTGCCTCACATCCATCGTCTCACTAACCACGCCACACGACCCCGCCGCCTTTATACCACGACCTCCTGCCTATTGATTGAACTGCCGAACTTTAACCTTTGACCTTTCAACTAAGTCTCGCAAGTCAGAGTGATGGCAGTTCAAAGGTTAAAGTTCGCCAGTTCAATCAATGAGAAGCAGCACGATGTGTTATAAAGGCAAAACAATGCAAATGGTGTTCTGGGCAGAACTGCGTGGGGCTTTGTGTCCGCATGGACACAATCTCTCAATGCAGACAGACAAAGCGCCACGACACTCTGCCTCACATCCATTATCTCACTAACGACGCAACAAGACACCACTTAGCCTATCGATTGAACTGGCGAACTTTCAACTTTGACCTTTCAACTCACTAGAGCTTGTGACTTGCTTGGTGTCACCCACGCACGTGCCTACCATTAACCACGCTGATGCTGAACCGGTCTTAGGGAAGTGAGGATTCAACTTGACACAAAATGAAACAAGCCATTGGCTTTCCTACGTCTTAACATGGAAGAATTTTGACGTTACGTCGTAGTTAAGGCAGATAGCGCACTTGCAAATCTGCTCCGTGTTAATAAATAGGCGTAGAGTCATTTAACGCAAGTAACTGGTTCCAAGAAAGTGCATTCAAGTTGAATTGCTGTCGCTCTCCATTCGAACATGAGTTGTGTGAAAAGACCTCCAACTGCTTCAAATCCAGACATAACTGACCAGAATTTGTGCCAACTCTGGCAGCATTTCTGACTTTTATCTTATCCAGTTCATCCGCATTCACAGCAACTACCTTATTGAAAGCACTTACAAACCAGTGGTGGTAACTCGCAACCCGACAAATTCGCCGAGCGTGTTAACGAGTTTAGTGAGAAAAATGTGATATTCTTGTAAATTAACTTAAAGACGTTCATGGGCAGCAAGTGCTACGCTGGAAACTCTAGCACGTCTCGAATTCATTGGAAGCATTAATGGCATCCACACGTCCAACCTAGTGCATCATTTGATATAGAGGCAGTAGAGTTCGCTTGCGACTACCGAACCAGGCACGATGCATCCAGCGAAGGAACGCTAACACGCCGACACGGAAACTTCAGTTTCGACGTGTCCGTGGGTTGCGACATGGCAACTGCGCCAGAGCAAAGGCTTCGCATCCCTGAATGAGGAAACAAGCATCAAACAGCGTTTGTACTTCCATGCGTTTCAACTGCCGTCACCGATTGCAGTACTACTTGTGCAACTAGTCGAAGATGGCGACAACGAACACATTTTTAGTCAGACCTAGGCAGGCTGCGATATTGACTTTGACAAGGAGGAGCGGTGATAGGGATGCGGTTTTGAAAAACTACATTGTTAAGCTATTGAAGTGTAAGTGGAAGCAGATGACGCAGATTTTGTGTTTAAAATTTGAACTGTCCTCAATGATGATCACTTCGATGTGCTTCCTTGCATAACCAGCCGTTTCACTGATAAGTGGTGTCGAAGGAGGCGGACTATGTGGGCATTCCATCAAAGATTCTAATTATCACTAAGAGAGCGGAATAAGGCTGCATCCAGATCCGGACACACTCTATAAAAATAGATTTCTCAATCTATTCAAGCAAGCAGACGTCGGTTTCTTGGAACGACTAAGAAAGTAACTGCACGCTAGTGTCTTGTGCTCTCACGAAAACTGCAATCAACGAATTGGTGCTGCTTTCGTGGATGGTGTTGTCATCCCTGAAATCCCACGAGATGCGTTATTTGGAACCACGACTGCATTCTCTTTGCTATTCGATGAAATGTCCGATCCTGTACTGCCCTGTAATAACACGGAATAATCTTTCGTCCATCGACAATCTCACTAAGCTCATTCTACCTCAGGAAACACATTCAACTTGTCCACATTGCATCCATTCTCGGATCTCTTAGTTTCGACAGATCGCCACGTCTTACCATTTCTACCTTCAACATTTGTCATTCATGCTGGACACACCGTCTTTATTATTTGCAATTCTGCTGAACACGATTTGCTTCCTCATGCCGCCTTCCAGACATCTGCAAGAAAGCAAGCATTGGTATTGCAAATCAAAACACATTAACAACTCAGCCGCTAATGCGATGTTGCATCTGGCTATTAACTCTTAAACATCACCAAGCAACCGCTCTTAACCTCATTTCTTTGTAATTTTGTGAAAGATTCTACATGTGACGATGTAAGAAATGTCTAGATTTGATTTCTACTGGATGTAGTGACGCCGCTTCTCTTTGATGGACTCGCGTCACCAGCAATATTCTTTATCGTGCTCCGCGGCCACACGGTGATGCCTTTGATGATGGCTTCAAAAGTAGAGTATGGCGACGCACCCGAACAAACTGAGCCAATACGTCAATCAGGTAGTATCAACTGATGACCTTCGATGTCGTCAGCTAGTCAAAAGCCAGTGAGTGAAATGAAGCCATGCAGTGCGTAGTTCTGCTTTTTGCCACATTTTTGACATCTCGTTTAGTTCCTCAGGCATTATACAAGGCTTGGTCACCTTACCACGCAATTTACAAACGCATTTCAGATTGTGCTCTTTTTGCAGTAGCACTCGGTTAAGTAAGATAAGTGCTATACCAAGAGGAGTAGCATGTGTGACATAAATTGGACACGTATGCCACGCCCAAAAGTCACCATCGTCTTATCAGCACTCCGTTTGGAGCTCTGATTACAGTCACAGACCTTGTGCGCCATCTCATTGATTTATCGCTGCCTCCTGGTCAGAATGTGTGAATGTGCTGTGGTGATAAAATTATGATTCTAATTTGAAACTCTGATTTCTGAAATCTTTCTTATTTGTTCTTTGCCATTGTGAGTCCAATGGTTTAATAAATGGGGGTAAAATTAAATGACATTCAATTGAATTGATGTGTTTTCGCTTAATGCTGCTGCGGTCATCTCTTCCATTGCAACGAATTCATCGTAGTCAGCCAGATTTCGCGTATTTTCACGTTGGCCACTCGACAAGGCAAGGATTAAAATGTGCAGTCCTCATGACTGTCATGTGAGACGAGCGTGGATCTTGCTTGATTGGAAGGCTGTGAGATATGATTCCTTTGTTGATAACAAACTAGGCTGTCTTCGCACTCGCTTCTACCTCAAAATTGAGGCTAAAATGCGTTATCAAAGAAGTTTGAGGTCTTACGGTGAACAGAAACATATTCCAGTGTCTGTGAAGTTGTAAGTTATTTTCTTTTAACTTCCAGCATTGGTATGTCCAGCGGTAGTTCATCGGCGTTCAATAATCCAAACAGTTAACACACAAGTTTCACCTGAAATATCGACTTAACTGGCGTCTTTACACGACAATTGTGTAAGGCACATAACTGGCCACCGACCTATACTGAGACGGTCTGACCTCGCGAAAGATAAGCATTGACGTCGTCGGGATCACCTGACCCATTTCTGTTGAACGTCAGCACCACCAGGAGTCACTTCATACAGTGAGGCATGGCATTGGAATCCCTACACGAACGGTGCTCCGCGTTGCATGTTCATCCTGCCTTGGCCAGAAGAGAGGAAGATCTGTCAAACAGCACACATTTTATTGATCCGTCTACATGGCTAGTTGTGCCTACGAATCAAATGCAGCGTTGCGGAAACGTTCCACTTATCACCATCATCATTTCCAGTCTTAAACCTGACCACGGCATCCAGATGACAAACAATCAAATATGCAAGCCTTCTAGAAGGATATTACTCTCTACTTAAACATACATAATAGCACACAAATCGTGTGTGCATAGTTGCAATACAAATTGCCGTTTGTCTTCCGTGTGGAATATCTCAACTCAATAAACAGAACGCGCCAACCCCGTGATTCGATTTACTGCGAATGACATCTGTGTGAGCACAAGCCCAAATTCTGCCCATGAGTTGACAATAACAAGACGTTGTGAAGAGTCAATGGGAGAGCAGCCCGCAAACCACGTTAATGCAATTAACAAAGTTAAAGTAATATGTTGAGGAAGACATGTCAAGTATAGCTGCAAGTAGATCTCTGGTCAGCAAGGAGTTGCTAGTGCAGCAGAACGATGTTCAAGGCCAGGCTGCAATGTGGCAGCTTAACGTCCGATGATATTGACACACTTCCCACACAGTGGAGCGACTCCATTAGGACTTGACAACGCTAAGCAATCCACTGAGTGTCGTGCTGCAAAAAGAAACATTTCGTCGAGTTTTGACATGGCCCTGGTTAATGAAGAACCAGAAATAGTCTCTCGTACCAGGGGCTGTTCGCTAACTGGAAAAAGTTTTCCCTGAGCAATTTAAGGTTATTACAAAAAGGATGATTGCACTATTACGCGCAACGAGACCAGTGCCAACTGTGTGTTGTTCCGTCTGGCAAAGTGAATAGGAACCAGTTACTCCTGTTACAACACCTAGTCTAAAACACCCTAGCGTGTGTTTTAAAATCTTATCATTCTCCGTGGAGCAATCCCCAGTGCGGTCAGTTGACGCTGCATAATGTGCCATTAAGAGAGTGAAAGCCGAATGCAAGCGAGTCGTTAGCACCAACAAATGCACTGAGAGTGTGCTTAATATTTCGAAGTTCAACCAACATTACATCTGCCTCTTTAATAAACACAAACACGCTCTGAAGACTAACACAGAAATGTTCTGTGTGGATCAAGTTTACAACCTCCAGTGTAGGATGTCATTCGACATGAAACCTCGGTAAAAGAGGTACTGCACAGCATAGAAATAAATTGAGGTTGGTAGACTACATGACTAAAAAATGCGATATTTTGCATAATAGTGGCAATTAAAAAGACTTGGCTACAGCTCTCAAAACTGAATAGGTGGACCAATCACTGATTTCGACCAGCTGGATGGTGTCGATAACAGGAAATGCAATTTAACAAATAAAGTGACCTACCTTAGATGAAACACAATGGTTCCAAGGCGTTGTAACTCAAGACAAGTAAATCAGATCTTCTTGATGCTGACAAGGTATTTAGAGCGTAGTCCCTTCTTCTCT